TGGACAGCTTCATAGTGCTGTAACTTAACCCCTTGCGCCACCAGGGAGGCCCCAGAAGTTTTTTTTAATTGATAATAAAATCAAGATCACTTTTATGAATTCAAAGGCCACAAACTAGTATTTTTCAGTATGGGGGATTGGAAACTACTTGGAATCCAATTCCCAACTCAATGTGTAATTCCATTTCTCAACTACAGTCAAAACAAAGATGGAAAAAAGAACTATGTAGCAGTACTTAAGAACATTTACCCTATTCATTTATTTGAATTCAATTCCATGTAGGGTCTATCACCAAGGCCATTTACATCTTTTTTTTTTTTTTTTTTTAAGATTTATTTATTTATTTATACAAGCACTGGGTACGGTCAGAAGCGCGGGAGGGTGAGAGAATTCACCAGAGCCAGAGCGGGGAGCAGAGCAGGCAGAAGGACCGAAGTACACTGCTGAGGGGAGCAGCGGGCGGCAGGAGAGGTCTGCGCGCCATGTGGGACCCTCCTTTGGTGGCCAGGGAGCAGCCGGGGATCAAACCGGCGCTGCAGATGCTGGGGGCAGCTTTGCAACCCAGCGCTCAACTGCTGCGCCACCGGGGAGGCCCCATTTACATCTTAAGATGTTTTCCTGATGCTCTAAGTCTTAAATCATACGTGAGGAACTTTAGTTGCATCAGCTTAACATTGTGACCAAAGATGTCACTAATCTTCAATCAAAATTTGATTGAAAATGTGTCCTCCCTACAATGTCATCAATAAATGGTGCTGGGGGTGCCTCCCTAGTGGCGCAAGGGGTTAAGATGCAGCACTATTGTAGGGTAAATAATTGTCAGGCTTTTCTGCTCCTCCCCCCCAACCTCCTGCCATTAGGATTGATGCTGGATCCCTGTGGTCCTGAATGCATGCCTGATGGCGGGCACCTTGAGGGGGGTTTGGGCATATGTATGTGGGTACACCTGAGCTGAGAGACGGCCTATAAGGGTGGCGTCACGGGATGCCAGAGGAAACAGAACACCAGAAGAAGGAGAACAATCAAGAGACGGGAAGAGAGCCAGCAGAGAAGCAGAGGCCACGAGAGAACTCCAGAGAGCCCAGAAAGAGTGAAGATTCGCTAGGGGCTAGGAGGCCTGGCAGCCTCCCGATCCCCGGCACCCCTGCCAGTCATGTACCTGGTAAACTCAATAAAAGCCTGAAAAAGCCACTGAGGGCTCCAGGACTCCTCCTTCACCTGTCTGCTTTGGTCATAGAGAGCCTGCTCTATGCCTGCCTGCTGCTACAACTATGAAGCTACCCACAGCCACTGCAGCACAAGTTGGATGCGCAGCCGGGGAACTACCCACATGGCACAGCAGACCTCTCCTGTTTCGCCCGCTGCTTCCCTCAGCAGTGTATTTTGTCAGTCTGCCTGTTCTGTTCCCTACTCTGTCTCTGGTGAATCCTCTCATCCCCCACCTCCAGCCTGTACCCCGGTTCTTGTATGAATAAAATAAATCTTTAAAAAAAAATAAATGGTGCTGGGAAAATTGAAAAGTAACACATAAAAAAATGAAGTTGGATCATTTACAAACTCCATACAAACTCCCAAATGGCTTAAAGATTTTGATAAAAGCCTGCATCAATAAAGAACATAGAAGAAAAGATGGGTGATATGTTCATGATATTACCGATAAAGATATTTTTGGCACTTGACCTGTATGGCAAGGGAACTAAAAACAAAAACAAGTGGAATTTACCTCAAGTTAAAAAGCTTTTATACAGCGAAAGAAAATACAGAATAATTAAAAAGACACCCCACTAAATGGAGAATATAGCTATACAATATATAGTTGATAAGTCCCATTCTTGGGCATCTATCCAAATAATATGAAACCATCAACACAAAAAGTTTCACAACATTCACAGCAGCATTTACAATTGCTAGGACATAGAAGCAACCTAAATGTCAACAGACAGTTGGATTGAGAAGATGTGGTATACCATACTATGGAGTACTATTCAGCCATAATACAGGATGAAATGCAGTCATTTTCAACAAAATGGGTTTTAGATTTATGGGTAGCAAGTCAGAACAACACAATACTAGACATTTACAAAGTAGATGATTCGATAATGGAAACACTTAAAAAAATCAGGGGCTTCCCCGGTGGCACAAGGGGTTAAACATCAGCACTATCAAGCTATCACCAGCCACTGTGGCCTGATTTCTATCCCCTGCCAGGGAGCTAACCCATATGGTGCTCCTGTCTCCCCTGCTGCTCCCCTCAGCAGTGTATTTTAGTAGATCCTCCTGTTGTGCTCTTCACTCTGTCTCTGGTTAGTCCTCCCACCCCCCCACACCCCTGGCTTGCACCCCAGCTCTTGTATGCATAAATAAATTTAAAAAAACAAAGCCATCAGGGCCTCCCTGGTGGCACAAGGGGTTCAAAGTTCAAATGTGAATAATTAGCTACTAAAGGTGAGTCACCTTAGGACAGCAGATCCATTAACATGTCCAAGAAAGGTAGTGTTTCCACAGTACTACTCAGTGCTAGTTTTTTTTATTGTTGTTGTTTCCTCTTCTCAGGAAGAGGAGCTATCCACATGGTGCAGCAGACCTCTCCTGACTCGCCTGCTGCTCCCCTCAGCAGTGTATTTCGTCAGTCTGCATGTTCTGTTCCCCGCTCTGGCTCTGGTGAATTCTCTCACCCTCCTGTGCTTGACTGGACCCAGTGCTTGTATAAATAAATAAATCTTAAAAAAAAAAAAAAAACAATGGCAGACATTTAAGATTTTTAGTGATAGGATGGAGTTTTTTAATCCTCAACAATTTTTAATTTTTTCTGAAAATTTTCAAGTAGAAGTCATTAAATGAAGTAAGGTAAAGACCAACTCCCCCCCCCCCCTTTTGCCTAAGTGGAAGGGCTTTAAATGGTGTTTTTAAATACAAATCCCTACTCATAGGTTTGCAAAAGTTGGGAATTTTTTTTTTTTTTTTTGTGGGACCCTCGCTGGTGGCCAGGGAACGAACAGGTGCTGCAGAGGCTGCGGGCAGCCTCGCAGCCCAGCGCTCAACCGCTGAGCCACCAGGGGAGGACTGGAAATTTTTTATATAGAACTAGTGCTGGGATTTAGCCTCAAACTTTTTTTTAAAAAAGATTTAATTATTTATGTATACAAGAAGGGGGTACAGGCCAGAGGGGTGTGTGGGTGTGTGTGAGTGAATTCACCAGAGTGGGGAACAGGCAGATTGACTGAAACACACTGCTGAGGGGAGCAGCAGGCGAGTCAGGAGAGGTCTGCTGGGCCATGTGGATAGCTCCTCGGCCAGGGATTGAACTCTGTGCTGCAGTGTCTGCAGATAGCTTCATAGGTTGCGTCTTAATCCCTTGCGCCACCAGGGAGGCCCCATAGGTTGTGTCTTAACCCCTTGCACCACCAGGGAGGCCCAGCATTAAACTTAAAATAAATGTAGATGACCAATCCAAGCTGGCAAAAGATGCAAAGTATGGCAGAATTTAAAGAAAACAAGTAGACGAATTTCTCCTTTCTCCTGAGAAGAGGAAACAACAACAACAATAAAAAAAACTAGCACTGAGTTGTACTGTGGAAACACTACCTTTCTTGGACATATTAATGGATCTGCTGTCCTAAGGTGACTCACCATTAGTAGCTAATTATTCACATTTGAACTTTCTTCACTTTTCTTTATTTTTTTAAATTGCGGTAATGTTGGTTTTTTTTTTTTTAAGATTTATTTATTTATTTATACAAGCACTGGGTACAGTTAGAAGCGCGGGAGGGTGAGAGAATTCACCAGAGCCAGAGCGGGGAGCAGAGCAGGCAGAAGGACCGAAGTACACTGCTGAGGGGAGCAGCGGGCGGCAGGAGAGGTCTGCGCGCCATATGGGACCCTCCTCCGGTGGCCGGGGAGCAGCCGGGGATCGAACCGGCACTGCAGAGGCTGCGGTCAGCTTCGCAACCCAGCGCTCAACTGCTGCACCACCAGGGAGGCCCTGAACTTTCTTTTACTGCACAGAACTCCACTCTTTGTAGTTAAAATCTAAAGCCCACTTCTGTAATAACCCCAAAGGGGCAAATGGCTTTCTTTTCATAAATATAAATATAATGTAGGTGTATGTACACTGAATGCTTTCTCCCAGGTCTTTAGAGGACTATATATTCATTATGAAAAGAAAGTCACTGAAGTAGCACTGACATCCTTGCTGGGATTTTGACAGGATTTCCTCCTTCAGGTGTAGTCACGGACACCACTTTAGCAACCACTGTCCATCACCATAGTCCACTGAGCTGTCATCCCCTTGCCTCCATCCTCACCTCTCCCTACTCTCTTTCTGAAAGCTGCAGATCAATATTCAACTTTGAAGGGTTGTTTTAAGGTTTAATTTCAAACAACTGGAAATGTATTTTTTTATTAACCAATGTAGCCAATGCCTAAATGTATATGGTCAGATGCAGTTACTATTTTTTAACAAAATGGGACATATGATTCCCTTAAAATATAAATATTCCTTAAGTTCTTTTAAATTAATCCATATGTAACACTTAAAAAAAAAACATACTGTAACAAACCAGGCAGTGCTTCCTTATACACCCCTTAAAAATCCCAGGTAAACATATGGAAATCAAATTCCAGAAAGCAACTGTTTTAGGTGGAACAGAACCATTTAAACATTCAGATTAATGGTCATTAGATTTAACACAGCAAAAATTACTTATTCATTCTGTTTATTGGATTGAAAGGGAATACAAATGATTAAGTGCTATGCACTGACATGGAAAAGGTGTATTAAAAAAATCGCAGTAAGCAAATCAAAGTTAGTGTAGTTTCAATTGAACAAAATTTTAGACTTTTTTTACTACACATTTATAAAAGTTAACAAAAAGTTGTAAATAATTAGTAGAACAAGTGAAATAAATATCAAGAGACCTTAAGTTTTATATGCTTTAATGAAATAAATTTAAACTACTAAATATAATCTGAGACATTAAAAAAAAAACAAACCCAAATTTAAGAACACAATCCTCTGAAATATTTAATCAGTCCATAGCAAATAGTTATTACATCCAAAAGCTCTAAGTGTTAACTAGTTTCACCACAATGCCATGTAATTCTCGACAATTTAGAAATCTTGAGATCAACACAAGTTCTCTTCTTGATCTCTACAGCTTGGTTTGTAAGTACATACATGCTTTTGTGGATCTATTCTCCTGGCGCTACACACACACATTTTCAAGGAGCCAATAACATTTTTCCATCTGTGCCTAAAAATGTTACAATTCAGTTTTAGCACATTGACCCTGATAATGAAAAAGTTAAAGATGGGGACACAATTTCAATCTTATAAAAATATACCAGTATTAACCAAACCTTAAATTCAGAGAGGGCACTTCACATGTGCACAAGACTATTAGTAAATTTGACAAGAACCTAGAACAGCTGTTTCCAGGACATTTTATGAATTAAACACTCTCTCTCCCACACACACACCCCCCCCCCCATTTTTATACTATCTGTTTTTTAAATCCAGGTTATCTGGACTAAGGAGATAGGGGATGGGTTATTTTTATAGTTTTGTTTTTGCAACTAAAGGGCAGCTACTATAACAATAGCTTAACACTGAAAAATTTCAATTAAGTTTTTCACCCTGTTTTTAGAAAGTGTCTAAGTGTAGATGCAAATTCACCTCTTCTTTTAAAGTTAGCAGTTTATATGAAATCAGACGTGGTTTTTAAAATGGAGTATTTTAGAAGCAACCCAAATGGACAGTTGCTCAAAGTCTAAATGAGAAGTAAAACTAAATCAAGATATTTATACATTTTAGAGATGGGACAAAAAGGATATTAAGAAAAATGTCTTCTTTCCTCCCCATTCAAAAGCAGCCATTCTTCTGCTGTGAAAGAAACTGACATGGATAGTTCCCTTTCAAGAGATGTAGGATACATTTACCACTGTGAGCAGAGGTGATAGGGTCAGTTCTTGTGTGCAGGAACCAACATCCTAAAAAAGAAAATTTCAAGACGGGGAAGGGAGGGACAGAAGGATTTTCTATTAATGTCATGGAATGCCACTCTAGAGGGAGAACACTCCTAATAATAAAGATCACCACATTACTACTTGTGTGACTTAAGGAAATATTGACAGATTGGACTTTCTTCCCCTTTCAACTAGCAGGTTATTTTAATTAAAGTTAGGTAATCCTTTTTTATTCTCCCACCCACTAAAATGAGTCAATTTTTAGGGATATTTGCAAATAAAAGCTCCTGTTTAAACTACTTACCTGGTTTAATAGAACACATTTGCCTGGCCAATAAGAGTAACAGAAATGTAGCTGGTATGAGTGCTAGCAAAATACAAAAACCGAAACTGAAGCCTTGTCATTCTTCCTAACCAATTCCCCACTGTCACCACCCCCAACCCAATTTTGGTAATCCCCAAATCCAACATTGTACTGTTAAGAACCACTTATTTGGAGGAAAAAGACATTTAATTTCATACTTGCTCTAGCCCTTAATTGATGATTAAATAACAAAAAACATTTTTAAGCACATGGAAATGAGCCTACTAACCTGAATTTTGGAGCCAAAACTCTCCACTCTACTTTGATCTATGTGCAAAAAGTATTGGTACTTTTCAATTTTTACATTTGTTAGTATCTTGTGGCTGGCTTGCTAGTATTCTCTTTTATGCCTATAGACTATAGCACTATCCGAAGTTTTCAGTTAATAGTTATGGATTAGACCATCCTATCAAATTCCTTGTACCATAAAATACTAGGTTTCTTCACCATTTACTTTACTTTTCTAGCATACTCACTGCATGACAAATGGATGAAATAGATGTTTATAGCAAATCGGCACAGCGAAGTACCAGTATGTATAGAAGCTGCCAGTTAGGACAGACCTGGAAAACAAACTCACCGAGCTGCTATAAGAAACCTTTGCATAGTTGTTACTCCGTTTTAATGGAGTTATGTTCTTGTAAAATGTGCCTGCTTTTACTCCACCTTTTTAAAGTGTTTTAAACTGTACTTCAGAAGCACTCTGAAACTCAGATCTAGGGGTGGTGGGATAAAATGTAGTAGAATCTGAGTGCCAAATTGCCCCTGAGTGGGCACAAATCACAGATAATGTTACAAATGTACCATGGCACATTGTAACCAAATTCGTAAACAGCAGTGGAGTTTCTATGCCCACATTTTATTAGTGATGTTACTGTAGAGATTGGGGTGTGTTAATGGCTTCAGGGTATACATGAATCACTTAAAATATGGTTTTAACTGTACTGAGGTAAAGAGAAGTTGCCACTTAATTATATACAGTTACCAATGAAGATTTTTATTTAAGCTTAAAGTAAAAAGTAATTTTAGTTAAGAAAAATGAAGTACCAGATAAACTGTGATATATAATTAACTCAGAAGTATCAAAACAGGAATTCTTGATTCTCTAGGTGGTGGTTTCTGCAAAATGGAGCTTAAAGAAATCTTTTACATACCAATTTGATAAAATAATCTGCTGACCACTATCTGTCATTTTCTCTTAGGAGTTATTGGGAGACTCCGTGCTATTTTAAGGCCAATTGTGTTTTTCTTTCTTCTCTCCTTCACTGACTTTCCCATCTCTCCTTGTAGTCATCCCCTAGCCACATCTCCCAGTGGGAGTATTCCTGACATCCAAGCCTTTTTCTCTTTTTTTGCGGATCTTGAAGGAGTCTCCTCACGGTAATAGATTATAGACTTGGCTGGGCCTAAGCAGAGTACATGACTTTCTTCACCAGAATCTTACTTTGGGGTTATTTCCACTCTTCTTTCCAACATAATAGCTGTGGTCACCATAATTATCCTTAACTGAAAAAAGGGAGGAAATTTCAAAGGAGACTTAGTATGTTGTATTTAAGCTGTTAGGAGTTTTAAAAGCACAATGTGAATACCAGACTGTTGGCTTATTTTAAATGTGAAATTCTTAAAAGTGCTTTTCCATGAAGGAAACCTTTCCTTAAACTCAAAAGGGAGGGGAGCAGGAAAGACTACCCACAGCACCAGTTTAGAATGAGGTTCAGTATGGCAATATCTGAAAAACAGAAGAAATTTTTTAAAAAATTTATGTATCCCTAACTGTCAAAATATTAAGGGCAATTAAGAGAAATGACTATGAGGATTGAGACCCAGTTTAAGTGTTTGTTACCTGCTGAATTCTTCTAATAAGCTCAATTATACTATAAACTTCCAAAGTGATTATATCTGCTGATCTCTACTCTTGCTAGATCACACCAAAATGATTTCCCGGGTTGAGAACAACTTGGAACAAGCTTTGTTGAAAATTTAAACAGACTACTGATCTCTAATGTTGTTATTTTAAAATTCTTTTTATGAATTTTGAATTTCTTCAAGATCAGGTACTGATGTTCCTTCAGGAATAAAACAAAAGGGGGAAAACCTTCAAAGTTTTACTCTGATTTTCCTGTGTAACGTCCTTCCAAGCACTGTTTCTGAGCATGTCTCCTGTGGTATTCCGGAAGAGCATCAGTTCTACTGCATATCTAAGTCATAGAGGAAACTTTTTAAGCTGGTTTAAATTCCAAATGTATACAAATGAAGTCACTTTAATCCTATAAATACTTCTTAATTTATTTTTAAAAAATTGTGCTGTTAACCCTTTTACGGGGCAACAAGCTATGTGAAAAGTACAAAACTTTTTGTCAAATGTAATATTGAGAGTGCTTTTGACATAGTTCACTAGTTTTTCATCTGATCAGTATATACTGCGCAACGGGCAAGGCTAGAATCCATGAACCAAGCTGCAAAGATCTCAAGCTAAATAAGGCGGAAAGACTTGGAGAAACAAAAGAAGGAAATTCTTTCCTATCCAATGTATACTCTTCAGACTAATGCACTCTTTCTATCAAGCCTTCTAAACTGTTAAATAAAGTTTTCCAAACAAGCATTTAAACTTCATTACACAGAAAAGAGACAAGAATGGTATCCTGCCAGACAAAAGGCAGGAGGGAAAAAATATATATACTGAGTTCAATGGGTAAGCCTGAATGTAGCACAGTTCTTCACAACCGATGGGGGGATAATTCAACATGGTGTCCAACAACGTTCTAACGACGTGCTTCATCTCAACTGGTTACTATGAAGCAAGATGTAAATGTTTGGCCCCAATCGGGCTTCAGAAATGGTTCTTTTTTCATGACGAGCATGTCTGTCCAGCTATCAATCATGTTTGTTTGCACCAAATCCCAAGCCATTAAAATACGACTAATTTTAAGTTAAACAGAAGTCGTCTGCTCCAAATTCGCCATCAACTATCCATGCTACTGCATTCCTCTGAATGAAGACAAGATGAAATGTATATAGGGAGAGGAGAGGAAAAAGAGGGGTGGGGAGAAAAAAAATTCACCTGTTAGAAAGTTTTAACATCAACATATTACAAACTAAATTCTTGATACTTTCATCATAATCCACTGAAATAATGTGCCTGCATCATGTTTTAGGCTATATATTACAGTCTAAAATCATATGACTATTTCAAATAGTGGAGAACCCAGTGAGTAATCATACTGGCACCTCATACTTTTTATTGATATAATTCATATATTATACAATGTACCCATTCATTATAATATATTCATAGGATTCATAACAATCACAGTGAATTTTAGACCATTTTCATCACCCATTCATGACCCATCAAGCAGTCACACACAAATCCCCATTCCCCAGCCTAAAAAAACCACTGACGTACACTTTCTGTCTTTATAAATTCGTCTATTCTGGATCATGGAATCATAGTATGTGCCCTTCTGTGTCTAGCTTTTTTCACTTAGCATATAAACATTCATCTATATTGTAGTATTTATTAGTTCTTGATCCTATCCCATTTAACCCAGCTATAAAATAAATAAATAAAAAATATGGAATCGTTATAATAGAGGGTCAGCACATTTTCTTGTTTAAAATGGAGCTGTTAGATTAAATATTTTTATTTAAATTAGCGACAAAGTATCTTAAGGTGTCATGATGTTTGAATGACATTTGTAGCCTCATCTGTATTTTTCAAAATTTCTGTTAGATTACTACTTCAATTAGGAAAAAATGTTTTCACATGTAGGGAAAAACCCTAGGAGATAACTGCATATAATTCTACTTATATGAAATTCTAGAAAATAGAAAGTAATCTATTGTACCAGAAAGCAAATAATTGGGGCCAGGGCTATGGTAGGTGGTAGGGATTGAATGCAAAGGACAAGAGGGAAAATTCCTTTGTCTAGATTGTGATAATGGTTACAAAAACACAAACATTTGTCAAATCTCTTCAAACTAGAGGGGCCTCCCTGGTGGCTCAAGGGGTTAAGACACAGCACTATGAATCCATCTGCAGCCTCTGCAGCATGGGTTTGATCCCCGGCCAGGGAGGTGACCCACATGGTGCAGCACACCTCCCCTGTCTCGCCCGCTACTCCCCTCAGCAGTGTATTTCAGAGGATATGCCTGTTCTGCTCACCACACCCCCACCTCTGTTCTGTACCCCAGTTCTTGTATGCATAAATAAATAAATCTTAAAAAAAAAACCCTCTTCAAACTATACATTTTATTTTACTTTAATATATTTAAATTTTATTTTACATATTTTAAATAGATCTATTTTAGTGCAAGCATATTAACCTCAATAAAGTTGATTTAAAAAACTAAATAAAACAAACAAAAACCCTGCACAAAAAGTATATAAACCAAATAGTTATATAGAAGCTGTTTTCCCATTTTAAGGCTGTACCTATGTTGCCAAAGCATAATGGAAAAACTGATAAACTGGACTAGATCTTACAACTGAGCCAAAATTTGACTTAACCACTACAGCGGGAGTATTCATCTGTATTATTTAAATTCACCAAATATATTATCAAAGATAGGTTGAATGTAAATTCACTTACAAGGTAAATTTGCTACTACAAGTCTAATATTTTTCAACTTCTTTCAAATATGCTTATCTGAAGAAAGAACTTCAAAAATGATGAATAAAATTAGAAGATCACATATAATTATAGTTGTAGATCCATAAAACAACTTATCTTTAAAAGTGGGCCTTAAAACCTAAATAAGCTAACAAAAAGAGGTAAAGATTTCTGGTTTTAGTTACTTCTCAGAGGAATGCTGGAATGTCATGCAGTAATCCACATATACCAAAAGGTCCTTCAAAAATCCAAGCAACTCAGCCGTAGTTCTCAAAACTCTCTCCTCATTAGCTGTATATCCTCTCCAGTTAGTAAGATCTGGTCAAGTGTTTCAAGTTTGTATCACAGACAAAAAAAAGTATAGAGAATATATTTTCTCAAATTTAATCCTGAAACTCTTCTCCAATGATAACCGAGAATAGTTATCTTTTCCACTAAAATACTTAGGTGGGATGTACTATAATTTTATCTATTTGATAAAATAGTTTATCTATTTGAGGTACATTATCTCCTTCTAAACAAGTATTTTACTTGTGCTATCTGAAAAAAAGAGCAATAACTCATTTACATAAAATTCCTCATATCTCTTAACTGTTAGCCTTCTGGTTTTAGAGTTCTTCATCTCTAAAGTACTTGATAATAGTGGAAAAACCTTTCAGACCTAGATTTGAAGATCTTGCAACACTCAACAAATTAATGAGGCTTGCCATTTTTATTACCCTCGGAGTGAGGATAAAATATTTTCCTTATAGGCATTATGAAGGTTGTATGTAAGATAATGTATAAAAAGGGCCTAGCATGCTGTTTGGCATATAGATAACATGATACATTTTAGTTTTATCCCAGTATATACTACATAGTTGTTAACAGATGATCATTTTCAGTAAAATCCATAATCAAGGTCATTCTCAAACTTTGTGTATTTGCTAGTTCTCATGTACCTAAACATAGAAAATGCTTTGTTGTGTGAAGATTTTGAAAGCATTAAATCAAAGAGCTAATGATATACATGAGATGGTACATGACAGCTTATTCTGCCTATTGTTACCAAAAAACAAATGAAACATACACTATTGTATTTTAGATTACTTAGATGCCTTCTGTGGAATAAAATAATGTACAATCTCTAAAGGAGGGAGAAAAACCCAGATTTTAATTAAGTGCGGCTTAAAAATGTGGCAACTTTATAATAAGCAAGGCAATGCTTCATCTGGAGAAAACACAGGAATGTTATATAATGGTGTTACCTTCAATATTCTGGTGGTCTATAAAAGGTGCTGGTCCCCATATTCTAACAGTGCCATCATCTGAGGCGCTGGCCATCATGGATGGAATCTGTGGGTTCCAGCTCACACAGTTTACTGTACGTGTGTGCCCTGTCAGCTCCGCAATGGGCAGTTCGCTACGTTTGTGCCAGATGTAAACCTTGTGATCTGAATAAAGAGTAATTCACAGAAAGGTTAGGGAATTGTTACGAATTAACAAAACCAACTGATTTTTAAATTTATCATTCATTACACAAAGAACATGATTTGATTATTGGAACTTGAAGAGAGCAAATATAAGTGAATAGTTTAACAATTACCTTATGAAAAAACTATCTTCATAAAATATACATTTTCCCCTATTAAAGATAATTAGTGCTCATCAAGTCACCAAAAAAATCTATCTACACTATTCTATAATACATGAGTAATATATAGAAATGTGAATGAATCTAGGACAGCGACAATAAATTTAATCTTCATCATCATTATGAGGTGGGTACTATGCTCTATGCCTTTATGGACAGTGACTGAGGATTATGAAGTTAAGCAACCTGCTCAAAGTAATAAATGGTGAAGTTAGGCTTCAGATCCAGATGGCCCTGCTCAAGAGTTTATTACTGAGTCTAAACAACTATCCTATATCTGCATTCTAACATGGCTCTGCTGACTCCTCAAGTGTCCTAAAGTGACCATGAACACCAAAACCCTCTGCAACTTAGTATCTTTGTGATAAACTCTTCAACCAATCAACCAAACAGTATACTGGTTCTGTATACTGTGGAGTTAGAGAATCAGGATCTTATCTTCCCTCTATCACTGACTACTCGTAGTGTAACTTTGGGCAAGTTACCCACTATTTGTAATTCTTCATCTGTATCTGAGGATTTGTATTTACCTACCATGTTAAAAGGATAAGTATGCATATGCAGAAGTGTTCTGAACTGAGTCTAGCACATAGCAAACACCAAGTATTACTGTAAAGGTTAACTAAATATAGAAAAAGCATTCACTCTAACAATTTGTTAGTCAACGTGGGGACTTTCAGTGGCTGCACTGCCAACTGAGGAAACTTTAGAGAGTGGTGAAAAGGTAATTACTTTGTGGTAAGAGAACACACCCTGGTTTCAAAAGTTCTAATGTAGAGATAAAGGACGGAGACTATATATGAACATTGTGTGTGAAGCAAAAACTAAAAGCCACTTATTGTAGAACTGGATTTATCTTTCTTGCAATATATATTTTTTTTAAAAGATGTATTTATTTATACAAGCACTGGGTACAGTCAGAAGCGCAGGAGGGCGAGAGAATTCACCAGAGCCAGAGCGGGGAGCAGAGCAGGCAGAAGGACCGAAGTACACTGCTGAGGGGAGCAGCGGGCGGCAGGAGAGGTCTGCGCGCCATGTGGGACCCTCCTCCCGTGGCCGGGGAGCAGCTGGTGATCGAACCGGTGCTGCAGAGGCTGCAGGCAGCTTCGCAACCCAGCGCTCAACCACTGCGCCACCGGGGAGGCCCTCTTGCAATATATTTGTTGTTCAATAATTTTTTTTTTTTAAAGATTTATTTATACAAGCACTGGGTACAGTCAGAAGCGCAGGAGGGTGAGAGAATTCACCAGAGCCAGAGTGGGGAGCAGAACAGGCAGAAGGACTGAAGTACACTGCTGAGGGGAGCAGCAGGCGGCAGGAGAGGTCTACGCACCATGTGGGATCCTCCTCCAGTGGCTGGGGAGCAGCCAGGGATCAAACCGGCGCTGCAGAGGCTGCGGGCAGCTTCGCTACCCAGTGCTCAACCGCTGCGCCACCAGGGAGGCCCTATAACTCAATAATTTTTGATAACCCTTTTCCTTGTATGAAATGAAATTAGCACCAAAAGAAAAATAAGCTGTGATTTTCCCCAAACTGAAAAAGTATATAAAGGAGAAAGATTACGGGCTTGAAAAAGTGTGAATGCAACTGAAATCTGCCAGTATTAGAGGAAAAATGCTTATATGATCACATATCTAAGGATAGCTCTTGCTGAAGAGGCAGCAAAAAATCAGATTTAACGTAGTCAAGGTTAGGGCCTCCCTGGTGGCGTGAGGGGTTAAACACCGCACTATGAAGCAATCCACAGACTGCAGCACGAATTCGATCCCCGGCTGGCCAGGGAGCAACCCACATGGTGCAGCAGACCTCTCCCCACTCGCCTGCTGCTCCCCTCAGCAGTGTAGTTCGGTCAATCTGCCTGTTCTGTTCCCCACTCTGTCTCTGGTGAATCCTCTCATCCCCAGCATCGCTGGCCTGGACCCCAGCTCTTGTATGCATAAATAAATAAATCTTAAAAAAATAGTCAAGGTTAGATTAACAGCTTTGTGATCAAGCTCTCCTTGCTGTATCAATCTAGGTAATCCATTATGTATATAGATGTAAAAAAAAAAAATGAGTAGTTTTCATACTGCCAGAACAATGAAAAAGATTGAGCAATGGCATAACTTTTTGTGGGACAATTTTCTAATTAGTCTATTTTATACTGGCATTCATGTATTTGGGGACTTGGAGGGTAGTCTTGGAGGGTAGTCTTTGAAAAATACTTCTTGCAAATAATGGTCAATGGATTACTGTGGTCCTCTTGGCAGATGATGCATTCACTATGTTCAAGGCATTTTTAGAACTATTCTAAAATCACCAGTCACAAAAACACTTACTTCTTAGCTATGTTTCATTTTTAGCCCTGAACAGATTATTATCTGATTTAATTGCATTATTCATTAGGCTTTATTCTATAGTAAGTGTGAGCTTTAAAAAAAAAAAAATGGCATCACTAGTGATAATGGTAGCCACATATATTTTTAAGTACTTCTAGGGTAAAAGAGGTATGGGTGTGGGACGGGGTTGTGAGGCGTAGTTAAGAGGGGAAAAAAATCCATCAGAAGCAGGACTTAATAGAATAAGGGAAAAAAGAGCTTAGAGTAGAAGGCTTTTAATGTCTAGACCACATGAAATTGGAAACCAATGGAGGGGCCTCCCTGGTGGCACAAGGGGTTAAGATTCAATATATGAAGATGCCTGCAGCCACTGCAGCATGAGTTCAATCCCCAGCCAGCCATGTGTGAGCAACCCACATGGCGCAGCAGACCTCTCCTGACTCGCCCGCTGCTCCCCTCAGCAGTGTATTTCAGTCTGCCTGTTCTGTTCCCTGCTCTGTCTCTGGTGAATCCTCTCAGCCTCCCCCCCTCCCCCCACCTCTGGCCTGTACGCCAGCTCTTGTATGCATAAATAAATATTAAAAAAAATATTGTTTTGACTGGAAAGAAATAAACTCATAATTGTTATATAACAAATCCATTCTTTTCTGAATTTTATCTGACACGAATTTTTTGGGAGAAAGAACAGATAAATCAATATGCTTATTGATGAAATATAAATTCCTTGATGTCTTTATTCTAATCCTTAAATTCACCTTGTACACAAAAGGAAAACTCGTGTCATTTTGTCAGTTTTTTGTAAAGATAGAAGAGTAAATATCTTATACAATGAGCAGAATACTACCAGTGTTTATCAATTATCAAACAGTGAAAATCTAACTTTAGTCAATTCTGTTTAAAGTCAGGTAAAACATAATTAATACTGACTTTCAGACAATACTAACCTTTGAACACCATCAGTCTCATGAAAAACCAGATGAACCAGGGTAAGTTTGTGATTTAACTACATTTTCATTTGATAAGAACCAAACCTTTCACATAGCCAGAAAAGGCACTACTGATTTATGACAAGGAGGATTCAAGTCATTCTAAAACAAGTGATTAACAATGCACAGCAAAATAACTTAGACAATTTTTAAATTTAATATATTGACTTTACTTGGAGACATGACTAGCTTCAAAAATAGAGATAATTATAATCCATCAATATATTTGAAATGACAGCGACACAGTTTACCTTCACTGCCACTGGCGATGAAGTCTTCATTATGGCCTCCAAAACATGAGTGAATTGTATAAAACCCTTGTGTAACACCTTGATACTTTCTTACTAAAACTCTGTCCTGCAAGTCCCATAAATGAACTCCCTGTAAGCAAAAAGAATTTGTCATTTATTCTCTCTCAACACAATTTTAGTAATTATGGATAGCGCTTTCTAGTTATGCAAAATGCCAGTTCTGATAAATTCATGGCTGATACTACACACTTAAAAATCAAACACATAGGGCCTCCCTGGTGGCCTATGGGTTAAGTCTGAGTGCTATCACCACTGTAGCTTGAGTTCGATCCCCAGCCAGGGAGCTGAGCCATATAATGGCACAGCAGACCTCTCCTATTTTGCCCACTGCTCCCCTAAGCAGTGTATTTCAGTAAATTCACATATTCTGCTTCCCACTCTGTCTCTGGTAAATACTCTCACCCCTGCACCTCTGGCCTATACCCCAGCTCTTCTATGCAAAAAACCAAAAACAAAATAAAAAAAATATGGAGTAAAAATGTTAAGAATTAGTAGAAATTGGGCCTCCCTGGTGGCACAAGGGGTTAAGATGCAACCTATGAAGCTGTCCACAGCCTTTGCAGCTTGAGTTCAATCCCCGGCCAGCCAGGGAGCAATCCACATGGCACAGCAGACCGCCCCCCAACCTCGCCTACTGCTGCCCTCAGCAGTGTAGTTCGGTCAATCTGCCTGTTCTGTTCTCCGCTCTGTCTCTGGTGAATCCCCTCATTCCCCCACACCTCTGGCCTGTATGTACCCCAGCTCTTGTATGCATAGATCTTTAAAAAAATATAAATCTTTAAAAAAAAAAAAAAAGAATCAGTAGAAATATCTACTTATACATAATATATATGTTTGCTTAAGTATCTTAAGTATGTTTACCTAAGTATCTACATATTACAAATAACAAAGTTTGAACTAAGTTAAATTTTTTTGAGAATAATGTAAAGAAACTTACCTGAGTTGCTACATTTAACAAAGCTAAACGGCCATTCTTTGAAATAGTAAAAGACATAATGGGATGATCTTCCTGTACTCTGCAAACAAAAAAAAAAGTTTGTCAAAAGCAACATAGGTTAAAAGAAACTGAAGAAGACACAAAGAAATGGAAAGACAAAAGCAATATAGGAAGTATGAAAACATTCAAATTATCAAAACAGAACATGTTCCTACTTCAGCATACTACAGTTTTGTCTATAATCACTATAATACACTATACTTTAATCAAGAAAAAGTTGAAATAATGATTACTAAGCACCATCTAATCATCAGTCCAATTACTGAACAATCCCAAAAGCAAAAACATAAAACCCTTCTTCTGAAAGCAAATTCGACTACACATTTTAATGTAAATCAGGTAATTGTTTAATGGTTACAAAAATAGTTACATGTTCCTATCTGTAAGGTCCTCGAAGTTATATCCCCGAATGCGCTGGTGTGTATCTGATGCCAGAACAGTCTTCCCGTCACTCAAGCACCAAAGGCATTGCACTCTCACTCCTTCCCAGGAGTCAAGAAGATTACCATCTAAATCCTGAGCAGGAGAAAATTACTATTAATTCTATTACTGAACAGTGCTCAGAAAGTAAAAAACTAAAAGAATCTCTTAAGGATATATTTTTGTAATAATTCTTGTTTTATCCTGAGATGGATTCTCAACCTGACTGTTCCACAGATTGACTATTGAAAAAGATTCAAATATTCCTTTAAAATTCACTATATTGGAGGGCTTCCCTGGTGGTACAGGAGCTAAAGACAGCGCTATCAAGCTATTGCCAGCCACCACAGCATGAGTTTGATCACCAGCCAGGGAGCAATCCACATGGTGCAGCAGCCCTCTCTTGCCTGGCCCGCTGCTCCCCTCAGCAGTGTATTTCAGTAGATCTGCCTGTTCTGCTCCCCACTCTCTCTGATGAATCCATCTCACCCCCTGCAACTCTGGCTTACACCCTAGTTCTTGTATGCATAAGTAAATCAATCTTTAAAAAGAAAATAAAATTCACTATACTGGGACTTGTGCTGTACTCCGAAGTTGTAATGTGGAAAAAAAAATACTAAAACATTATACCTTTATAGAATTTAGAAATCTGTTATACATTTTTAAATAACCACCAAATTTGTAACATGCTCTGCATATCAAAGCTCTTAGGACCATTATCTTATTGAATGCTCAAAGTCCTAAAAGGCACCCCCTTTTCCATTTTAAAGATTAGGGCCCTACCAAATCCTCATTCTGAAGGTTTAAGTGCTGCATGGGAATGGCAGAAACATACATGATTACCTTGTATCTAGGGAATTCTAATCATGCTTAGATGATATGGTACTAGATTCCACGAGTCTCACACCCAGTTTTATGAAGAAATCAGTAAGTTGTAATGACTAGATAAAAGTCATTGGAACTGATCTTTAGCTACATGGAGATGATCTGATGGGGTTTATAAACCTGTTTAATTTTAGTTTTAAAAATAAATCTGGGGTCTCCCCTGGTGGCACAGGTGGTTGAGCGCTGGGCTGTGAAGCTGTCCGCAGCCTCTGCAGCACCGGTTTTATCCCTGCCGGCCAGCGAGGGTCCCACATGGCGCAGCAGACCTCTCCTGTCTCACCCGCTGCTGCCCTCAGCAGTGTATTTCGTCAGTCTGCCTGTTCTGTTCCCCGCTCTGTCTCTGGGGAATCTTCTCACCCTCCTGCGCATCTGGCCTGTACCCGGGTTCTTGTATAAATAAATAAATAAATAAATAAATAAATAAAATCTTTAAAAAAAAAAAAAAAATCTGGACATGCCTATGGGAGCCATACTAGGCAATGATATGAGACATGGACTCTAGATAGATAGTGAGATGATGCTGTGTTTGTATTATAGTTTATGGAACAGTAAGACTTTTTAAACCAATTACTTAATAAAGATTGAAAAGTTTTCTTTTTTTTTTTTTTTTTTTTTTTTTTTTTTTTAATGGTGCTCTATAACTTTATTTATTTATTTGTTTGTTTTGTTTATACAAGCACTGGGTACAGTCAGAAGCGCGGGAGGGTGAGAGAATTCACCAGAGCCAGAGCGGGGAGCAGAGCAGGCAGAAGGACTGAAGTACACTGCTGAGGGGAGCAGCGGGCGGCAGGAGAGTCTGCGCGCCATGTACCCTCCTCCGGTTCGAACTGCTGCTGCAGAGGCTGCGGGCAGCTTTGCAACCCAGCGCTCAACCGCTGCGCCACAGGGGAGGCCCGAAAAGTTTTCTGATAGCATTCATCGCTTTCATTCCTAAAGTATTTAAAAAGACAACGTACTCTTGAAATTCAGCATCTCTTTTTGATACAAAAATTCAATGAACTAAAAACCTTTAAGTACTAACTCTTTCATTATACACATAGAAACTTGTTTGTAGGAACAAAATATTTAGTAAAACAATTTTTGAATGTTTTATTAAACTCAATATATTACGAAAGATAGCAAAAGATGACATTATCTTCAGGTAATTTTATAAAAGGTATTAATTCAAGTGAATTCATTAAATAAAACTAAATTTGCTTTTAAAGATGAAGACTTTTGAAAGGGAGCACTAAATACTTACACATTGATAGAATTGCCCTCGCTGACCTCCAGTTACAAAGCGTTTCCCATCTGGATTCCAAGCCACACTCGTTAAACTGTCTTCATGAGATTGGCTCATTTTTGTCCTTAGCTCTCCTGTCTACAAAGAGGAAAACTGCAAATAAGACCTTCAAGACACCCCCCTAAAGGGAATGTGTTAAAACAGAAACAAACAAACAATAATTGGGACATCTGGCTAGCTTGGTATTCCTACTTAGAAAAACAGGCCTTATGAAGACTACAATACTCAGAAGAGAAAATTAAAGACTTCAATGATGGCTGGCATTATTTCTAAAGAATAGAGAGACATGAAATAAACTCCAAAAAAATTCATAAAAATGAATGTTCGTTGTTTTTGCTAACCCCCACTGAACTTCTATGTATATTTTCCAATCAAGATGAAAACACTAACTACCTATTCCTTCTGAGTTTCCACTTCTCTTTAGTCCATATTCTATTCTAAGACTGCAGTTAGTGCAACTAGCAATTTCTTAAGAACATGATTAATGAGTAGAAAATCTATATCCTTAAACTAGGCTAAGGTGTAGGCAGTCTAAATTTTATATTTAAGATGAGAAAAGAAAAATGAAAATTACTTTCTTAATGTAACTCCATTTCAATTAAAAGTAACAGAATTTTTTTTTTTTTCTGTTTAATGTACCATTCTAAAGCATTCCCAACTAAGCAAGACTATTTAGTGGCTACAACCATCAAATAAACTCCTGATATTTTTCTAAGTTATTCAACTTAGAAGGTAGACACATACCATTTAACCTAGTCTTGATTCCATTTTGTTCATGGATTACAAACAGGATCTGAGAGATAAGATCTGCCCTTGGTATAATAAAAAGTACATGGGCATAATTTTCCTGTGAGAAATGGGTAATCAAAAGCAAAAAAAAAAAAAAAAAAAAAAAGAGTGAAAACAAAGTGTATTATCAGGAAATGGGGCCAAATAATAAAAGCAAAAAGTACACAAAAATAGAAAACCAGGTGTTTCTCCCTTACAATTAAAAAAACCCAGCTATCGTGAATCCTTCATATTGTTATCTTCTCTCACCTATACACCTTTTTGGTTATTAAAAGCGAAAATAAGTTTTGAAGTACAAATAAATACACATGCATCAGTTAAATTCTTGGTATTTTCTAGTCACAAATATGTTAAAACAGTAAGTTTTGAAGGCAGAAATGGTCTTTTTCTCCTGTGATATATGTCCCAGAATACTGAGTATATGAGGCTATTAAGAACTTGCCTAAAAACATAAAGAAACAATTTGAAAAGTGACTGTAAACACCACCCTTTCACAACAAATCTACAAAGTAATGAATAGTAAAACAGCTCAACTAGAACATAGAAAACTGTCCAGAAATTCAAAACTGACTCAAAGGAGAATTATACAGGCACTATAAATTAAGACTCTCTATTGTAAATTCATGAATATATGTATCTTCTCTTTGAAGGAGAAAAATGATTTTGTCTTTCAGGTCAAATTCACTTGTATGAAAATCTTTATTTTTAAAATTTTACAATAGAATTATGGCGTATCATTCTTCAGGTGACAAATCTTCAGGTATTCAGTCTGTCATCTATGCCATTATTACTACTTATTTCTGTGTACCTTTATTTTCATTTCTCTGTAAAAATCAAGGAACTTACAAGACTCCCAGTCTCAAAACCCTATTCCATCACAACTTATACTTTCACCCCAAACCTAGCCTGGACTTCCCTTTCCCTAGAAGAAAATAAAAAATATTACCTAACCACTCAGCTTACAGAAGGAAGTAAAAAAATATTTAAATTGTGACTCCATTTTCAAAACAGTCAGTAGAAAAAGGAATGAACTTAATGCTGAGTGTTTCTAAAATGGGACCCTGGAGAAAGATCAATTTTTCATTTAGAAATAGTAATAAAACCTTTAATCTAGGTACTGAAAACATTTACTAAATGATTTATTAAATCCAGATTATAATGTTAACTGTGCAATTTCCACTGGAATGGAAAATTTGCTTTATTGCCATGTGTGAAAGGTAAGTTCCATGTACAATTTTGAAACTATGAAACATCCATAAAATCTTTATGTGTACTATCTGCCACAGTAAATAGTATACATTTTACAGTACAAAGTACAACACCCTGAAAGTATTTACTAATCATTCTTGCAAAAACTGTTGTGAGAGAAACCAAAGGGTCAGGCAAACTTTTAAACAACACTTGAAAACTGACCATAGATCTGAGGCATGGGGGGGTCAGGGGTACATGGGGTGGGTGGAGAGAGCACAATGGACTATGGTAGACATCTATGTACGCTTTGGTGCTGCGGAAGTTACACCTGAGGGAAGAATTTCTATACTGTCAAAATATTAACAAGCATGTAAAACAATGATACATCATTATGTGGAACTTGCTTACTTGTACATTCCAAAGCCAAAGCTCAGAGCAGTCATCTGGGCCACAAGCAACAAGATAGTTGTCATCTGGACTCCATGCAATATAAGAAACACCGTAAGCATGTCCTTCTAAAGTTTTAAGCAGTTTTAGCAGGTGTGTATCCTAAGGAGGGAAAAAAGGCAATTCAATTAATTCCTATCCCTAAAGTCACTGATTTTTTTTTCCTGGCACAAGAGCTTAAGTAGCTGCAAAAACATACTTTTGATACTATAATTTAATCTGGAGACGTCTTCAAATTTCACCAGTTTTCTCCCCAACTTAAGTTCTAACAGCTTGCTTCATATACAGACTCATTCATGCTGCAATGTTTATTAAGCATCTACTATAATAGGCATTGTGTGCTAGATGGAAATACAAAGATGACACAGATTTTGTACTTAGTCTTTTAAGAAAACTGAAAACAGCTATAAAACAATATGCCTCTTATTTTTTGACCGTTTTATTGAAATATAATTTACATACCATAAATCCACCCTTTAAAAATATACAATTCAGTATTTTTAGTATCTTCACGGCATTGCACAACCATCATCACTATCTAATTTTATTTATTTATTTATTTATTTTTTAATAGAGGCATGTTTTTATTTATTTATTTGTTTGTTTGTCTACACATGCACTGGGCACAGTCAGAAGCACGGGAGGGTGAGAGAATTCACCAGAGCCACAGTGGGGAGCAGAGCAGGCAGAAGGACCGAAGTACACTGCTGAGGGGAGCAGCGGGCGGCAGGAGAGGTCTGCGCACCATGTGGGACCCTCCTATGGTGGCCGGGGAGCAGCCGGGAATTGAACCGGCGCCGCAGAGGCTGCGGGCAGCTTAGCAACCCAGCGCTCAACCGCTGCGCCACCGGGGAGGCCCTACTATCTAATTTTAGAACATTTTCATCACCCCCCCCCCAAAACCCCCATAGTCATTAGCCATTATTCTTTGTCAACCCCCCTCCCCACAATTCCTGGCAACAATTACTTTCTCTACAGATTTGTCTATGCAGGACATTTTTTTTTTAAAAGATTTATTTATTTACACATATAAGAACTGGAGTGTAAGCCAAGGGTGTGGGGGGTGAGAGGATTCATCAGAGAAAGTGGGGAGCAGAACAGGCAGGATTCACCAGAGAAAGTGGGGAGCAGAACTGACTGAAATAAACTGTTGAGGGGAGCAGCGGTTGAGGCAGGAGAGGTCTGCTGCACCACGAGTTGCTCCCTGGCTGGCTGGAGATCGAACTCGTGCTGCAGCGGCTGGCAATAGCTTGACAGCACTGTTTTTAACCCCTGCGCCACCAGGGGGGCCTCCTACTGGACATTTCTTTTTTAACTATCAATAGCTTTATTGATTTAGCGTGTTTCTTGGGATTCATTTATGTTGTAAAACATATCAGTATTTTGGGGCCTCCCTGGTGGCCCAAGGGGTTAAGCGTCAGCACTATGAAGCAATCCGCAACTGCTGCAGCATGAGTTCCAAGTTTGATCCCCGGCCAAGGAGGTGACCCACATGGCACAGCAGACCTCTCCTGTCTCATCCTCCTCAGCAGTGTATTTCAGTACATCTGCCTGTTCTGCTCCCCACTCTGTTGCTGGTGAATCCTCTCACCCCACACCTCTGGCCTGTACCCCAGCTCTTGTATGCATAAATAAATAAATCTTTAAAAAACCCAGTAGTTTATTCTTTCTTGTTACTGAATAATATTCTATTTTATGAATAGATTATACTGCTTATCCACTCATCAATTAATAAACATTTGGATTGTTTTCACCTTTTGGCTATTATGAACAGTGATGCTATAACGAATATATGACTATGTACAGTTTTCGTGCAGACTTAACACTTATTTTTCTTGTATATAACTGTGTATATATATTTATGCAATACATATATATGGAATTTCTGATATGCTAACTCAATGTTTAATGTTTTGAAGAACTACCAAACTTTTTCAAGTGGCTGAACCATTTTACATTCCCACAAGCAGAGTTGCCAGATTAAGTGCTTATCAATATTCGGACAATATTCACATTTAATCCTCACAAATCTAAAAGTAGGTATTATTCCCCTTTTCCATATTACAGGGAAAAGATTAGAAATTTGCCTTTGTTTGTAGTTCGGAGTGTGGCAGAATTGGGGTTGGGGTGGAGGATCTGAATCTGGGCTGCCTGGCTCTCAGACCATACTCTGAGTTGTACAGGATGAACTTTAGAGTGCAACATGGAAATGGCAAGTGATGATGCTTGAAAAGTTGACATCTTTATTGTAGGTGAAGAAGTTACATTTTATTTTGTGAATGAAGAGCCATTTAAAAATTTTTAAGCTGAGGAATAACGAATGATATTTGGTTTTAGGACAAGAGCTCAAACATCAATATGGAAAATGAATCAGAATGAAGAGATAAAAGATAAAAAGATACCCATGACAAGCTGACACAGCAGCTGTGATTAAGACAAGAAGTGAGGTCTTGAACTAATATGGTCAGGACTGAAATAGGGCAGATCAAAATATACCCAGGACATAAAACTGACAGGATAGAATGAGACAAGATATATTCAAAGGCAAACTCTGGATTTCTTGCTAGGAGACATAACTGGGAATAGAAGGAGTAAGAATTTGAAGGTGGGGGAAAAGCAGTGAGTTACAGTTTTCAAATGGGTCTGGAATTATTTTGTTCAATCTAGATTGGGAATTTTTTCTTCAGAAATATCACTGAGAAATGGATTGTGTTTACATATTTTATTCTTCATTGGACTTTAAGTTTATTGCTTATTCAAATACCTAGTCCAAACTACCATTGTTTTGACAAAAATTAGATAATTAACAATGCTACTACTTCTGGTTTTTCTTTGGCAGGGTAGTACGCATGGAGTATCTGTATCAGAACACCGTATCATTAGGTCAAAATGTCTTGCATAATTTAATAAGCCTTTTTGGATTGGTTCAAGATCTTTCAGAAACAAAATTTCATTCATAGTAGTACTCTAGGTCTACATAAAGACTTGCCTCTAAACTGATGACAAACTACTTTTGAAGTATTTAACTCAAAAACAAATTGTTTCATGTACATTAATAAAAAATCATCCTGGTAAGGGGTAAAGTCTAAAATAAATGAGGCTATAACTATTATATTTTCACTAGCACACTGTCTCCCCACTAACCTATTCAAGTGGAAATACCATGTTCATGGACTCCACACTGGGGGTTAGGTGGGAAATGGGTAAATTTTTTTTTGGTCAAGGTAAGAAAATCGGTTAAAGGAAATTAGGTACTGGAGTCACATGAACTCAAATCTTAAGGTTTTCTATGTATTCTTCTTTTCTATCCATTAACCTCCCTCCCCTCCATTCCAGAAAAATCACAAATTTTCTTGAAAGTTTTTCAAATAGTATTTGACATAATAAAATAGTAGCATAGTAAACTCAAACTCTTGATAACACAGATTGGGATGTAAACATTAACTCTGAATTCTGCAAGCTAATTTGGCCACAAAAACCCTTTACATGTGTAATACCTATTAACATTCTTATACCCAGTATTCTGGCAAAAAACATCCTGGGAAACACTGGCATAAAAGTCTAATTCCTTAGTAAAGCATACAAGATCCTCCCTGATCTGGCTGTAACTTAATTCAGTAACTTCATCTCCTGGTCTACAAAGCATCTTCCCCAAACCACCTAAATCCTCACTGAAGCCATTTTTTCTTTCACCCAAGAGCCAATCCTAACTTTTCTTTCACCCCAAAGCCAGTTACCTAAGTATTTACTCCTTCTTCACCATAAGACTTATTTCTTATTTTTCCTTGTTTTCCTGTTCCAGCAGGATCTCCTTTTGAGCTTGTGTAGCACTCACTATAGAACAATTACACTGCATTATATCACATGCTCAATTCTGTCTCTCCCTAGCAAACGGTGCTCAATAAATACTTGGATATGAAAGGAACTCTTACACAGTGCTACTAGGAAAATACTTAGGCATAGTTTAGGTACTGTTTTCTTTTCAGATATCTTGCAAATAATCACTGAATGAAATGCAACGACTCTTCAAAATAGTATTCAAAGCTGGGGCCTCCCTGGTGGCGCAGGCAGTTGAGCACAGTGCTGTGAAGCTGTCCGCAGCCTCTGCAGCGCTGGTTCGATCCATGCTGGCTTCGGAGCAACCCACATGGCGAGCAGACTTCTCCTATCTCACCTGCTGCTCCCCTCAGCAATGTATTTTGTCAGTCTGCCTGTTCTGTTCCCCGCTCTGTCTCTGGTGAATCCTCTCACCGTCCCCTGCATCTGGCCTGTACCCTGGTTCTTGTATAAATAAAAAATAAATCTTTAAAAAAAAATAGTTTTCAAAGCTGGGATTAGATCCCAAACTGTTTCTCTAGTTTTATTTCCCACTCTTTGTTTTAGTTATCCTATTCTCTTATTTTGGAGAAAGGAAGGCAAGGGAATGTCCCTTTCCGCCTAGAATGCCATTTCCTTATCTTCACCTGTGTTATGCACAGCAAGGCTCAAATGAGGTACTCCCACCCATGAAGCTCCTTTGTGCATTCACAATACTTTACATACATACATACTTATTTTGTTAAATTTTATTTCCCCTCCTAAGCTGTACATTCCTTTCATAGAGGTTCTTAACCTGAGATCAATAAGGAGCCACCAAGAGGCCTAAGTAGGGGTCCATGAACTTAAATGGGAGGAAAAATGCAAATCTTACTTTCACTAATGAAGCCTGAAATTCAGTATTGCCTTCAATCTTGAATGCAGGCCATTAACAAGGTACTATTATCAACTATTATCTTAGGAAGCATTATGTGATCCATTAGGCATATTAATATATATTATATTGGCTATTAAGAAGTACTTCATGACTATTAAGAAGTCTCAAATATTTTAACATCATATTACAGTTATTATACGTATCTCAAAATATCTGTTCTTATGACTTCAAAACTCTGGTAGTTATTAGATCAGCTACTAGAATTTGTCATTTGATTTGTTAATAAAGATGCCACCAACGTATTATTATGCCATATCTGTTTCTGCACTATTTTGTCAACTAGTTTCCAATATGATTGGATTTTCTTTTTCTTTTTTAAATTTTTTTAAAGATTTATTTATACAAGAACTGGGGTACAGGCCAGAGGGGTGGGAGGGTGAGAGAATTCACCAGAGTAGGGGGAGCAGAACGGGTAGACGGACCAAAGACATTGCTGAGGGGAGCAGCAGGTGGGACAGGAGAGGTTTGCCACACCATGTGAGTTTCTCCCTGGATGGTCGGAATTGAACCCGTGCTGCAGAGGCTGCGGACAGCTTCACAGAGCTGCACTCAACTGGCTGCGCCACCGGGGAGGCCCTGATTGGATTTTCTCAGCAATTGATATGTACTATATACTTGAGCTTCCCATGTGCTTTGGTATAAGCATCTAAAACATTATTCTGAAGAGTTGTCACCAGACTGCTAGAAAAGTATATGGTACTGGGCCTCCCCACTGGTGCAGCGCCTGAGCGCTGGGTTGCGAAGCGGCCTGCAGCCTCTGTAGCGCCGGTTCGATCCCCAGCCTCTGGGCGAGGGTCCCACATGGTGCGCAGACCTCTCATGCCGCCCACTGCTCCTCCCCTCAGCAGTGTACTTCGTTAGTCTGCCTGCTCTGCTCTCCCCTCTGGCTCTGGTGAATTCTCTCACCCTCCTGCGCTTCTGACTGTACCCAGTGCTTGTATAAAATAAATAAATCTATCTTAAAAAAAAAAAAAAAGTATATGGTACAAAGAGAGTGCCTGCTTTAAGGCAAAGACTTCTTATTTACCCTTTCATTATTTGTACCATATTGCAGGTGCATTAGAAGTGATACATGCTTTCAAATTTGATGCTCCTCTTTTAAAAAATACTTCCTTTTATGGTTTCTTTTCTAGATTTTTAACAGAGGAGTCTAAAACTATGTTGGACTAATATATCCTAATTTTTTTTTTACAGATTTATTTATACAAGCAAGAACTGGGGGTGCAGGCCAGAGGTGCGGGGGCGGGAGGCGGGTGGTGAGAGGATTCACCAGAGACAGAGTGGGAATCAGAACAGGCAGACTGACTGAAATACACTGCTGAGGGGAGCAGCGGGCAAGTCAGGAGAGGTCTGCTGCACCACGTAGGCAGCTCCCTGGCCGACCGGGGATTGGCTAGGGATTGAACTCGTGCTGCAGAGGCTGCGGACAGCTTCATAGTGCTGTGCTTAACCCCTTGTACCACCAGGGAGGCTCTCATACCCTAACTCTTATTTAAAGTTTCAAATTTAGGGGCCTCCCTGGTGGTGCAAGGGGTTAAGTTGCAGCACTATGGAGCTATCCAAAGCCACTGCAGCATGAGTTCATTCCCAGCCAGGGAGCTACCCACATGGCGCAGACCTTTCCTGTCTTGCCCGCTGCTCTCCTCAGCAGTGCATTTTAGTCAACCCGCCTGTTCTGTTCCCCATTCTGTCTCTGGTGAATCCTCTCAACCCCTGAACCTTTGGCCTGCTGCATCCTGGCTCTTGCATACATAAATAAATAAATAAATCTTTTAAAAAAATGCTTAAAAAAAAAAGTAAAGTTTTAAATTTAAATAAAATTTATTTGATGATTTTTAGTGAATGACTCCTATACCAAGTATATGACTTGATTTATTTGGAATCATATACTTCTTTGATTGCTTGATTAATGTTCAATTGGTTGAAAAAAAGGGGAAGTATTTATTTTTACAAATCTGTTTATACCTGCTTATACACAAAGACAAAACTGATTTGAGAACTTAGAATTTTAAATTCAAAATGCAATTTTTTCCTATGTATAACTAACTAAAGGAGTGTGATAGGGCAGAAGGGAAGGTGTTTAACATTAAGTTTCACAAATTGTGCAAGACAATGTTTTAGAGGCAAAATGGTAATTTTCTTTTCTAACTTATGACAGAAAAGACACTGTTAATTTGTAAATCAAGTATTAAAGAGATGAACTGGTAGTCGGTCTAAAGTAAAACTGTTCCTGGATTTGCGTCTAACTCTCCATTTAGTTGCTGTGAGAGTCTGGGTATTTAACTTCTGTTTCTTCATCTGAAAACAGTAAATATTAGTATCTCACAAAGCTATTTAGAGGATTAAATTAGTAAATGTACACACAGATCATTACCATGTAACACTGAACAATTTTGTTAATATTTTACCTATATATGTTATTTAGACAACACAGAAAAGTAGACATAACAAAGGTGACCAAAAAATGCTCTTGGAAAATACTATTTATATACACATGCTTTGAAAATATGTACTCAGCCAATTGGACTAAAAACTAACTTTTGTTGCAACTTAAACACTCATACTAGAGTACATACCGGATCAACTTGCCATATGATAACTGTTGTATCTTTTGATCCCGTTGCTAGTTTAGTGCCATCATTAGAGAATTTACAGAACCACACTTCATTACAATGCTCCGTAAGTATCTGCTGAGTATAACATGGGAATTGCCTCCTAAAACAAAGAAGTCCACAAATAATTATTCAAAATATATTAATGAAAAATATTAGACAACAGATAAAACTTTAGCGATCAAAAATTTTAAATCGTGGGCCTCCCTGGGGGCAACAAGGGGTTAAACACCTCACTATGAAGCAATCAGCAGCCTCTGCAGCACAAACGAATTTGATCCCCCGCCGCCCAGGAAGCAACCCACATGGCAAAGCAGACCTCTCCTGTCTCGCCCACTGCTCCCCTCAGCAGTGTTTCAGTCAGTCTGCCTGTTCTGTTCCCCATTCTGTCTCTGGTGAATCCTTTCACACTCCCGCATCTCTGGCCTGTACCCCAGCTCTTGTATACATAAATAAATCAATCTTGAAAAAAAAATAAAACTTTAAATCTTAAGAATGAAATTCATATTGGTTATGTTGAAAATGAAAATGTAGTATCAGTCAAGGTAATATTAGGGGGGAATCAGTAAAATCTAATGTCTGCTTCAATTTATAATTCATTATTTCATTCCCCTTTCAAGATTAAAAAAGAAAGTACGCATCCACAGAATTTTTTGGTTTAAGTAAATTCATATAAAAATCAATAATCAGGTTTTTGTATTTGTTTTAAGTGGGCTGGCATCAGCTTGTTGTAGAAGAAATGATAGACATTTTCATTTACAGAAAAGCAACTTGGCATAACAAAGAATAGGCACTGCAGTCGGATGAGTCTGGATCATAAGCTTTAATGTCTTGGGCAAGGCATGTAACATTCCCTCACGTATAAAATGGGTTAATATATAACTAGCAGGGTTCTTGTAAAAATTCCTAGAATGCAACAGATATTTAAAAAAAATTGCTGGGCCTCCCTGGTGGCGCAGCGGTTGAGCGCCGGGTTGCGAAGCTGCCCGCAGCCTCTGCAGCGCTGGTTCGATCCCCGGCTGCTCCCCGGCCACCGGAGGAGGGTCCCACATGGCGCACAGACCTCTCTGCCACCCGCTGCTCCCCTCAGCAGTGTGCTTCGGTCCTTCTGCCTGCTCTGCTCCCCGCTCTGGCTCTGGTGAATTCTCTCACCCTCCCGCGCTTCTGACTGTATCCAGTGATTGTATAAATAAATAAATATAAAAATAAAATCTTAAAAAAAAAATAAATAAAAACAAAAATAACTGCTAATATTTTGGGGAGAGTAGTGAAGAGCTGCAATGTAGAATAGGGCCTGCAGTGAGAATTGAGAATCAAGGCAATAGGGTCTGACAGACTTAGGTTCAAATTGTGGCTTACTCACTAATTGTGTTACTGGGAAATTTATTTCGTCTTCCTAAACACAAATTTCCAATCATAAAGTAAATAGCACTTGCCTTACAGAATTCTTTATAGAAGGATGAAATAAATGAACATAAAGCATTTCGCCTGAGTCTGGCTTATATATTAAGAGCAAAGAATGCTATGGTTTATAATTAACTTTACTAAGTTAAGAGAAATTATCACAAAAACAGGTATTCTCACTCAGCATTCACTTTTAAAATCTTGTCTATCATTTTCCAATCTCTTGTTATCAGCACTGTTTCACAACAGATGTTTCTGTAATGATGTAGTACATACCTACATTGTCCAATTTGGTAGTCCTAACCACATGAAGCTATTGTGCACTTGAAATGTGGCTAGTACACTTGAGAAACTTAATTATTAAATTTATTTGCTTAATTAAATTATTTGCTTTTATTTGCTTTTCAATTTAAAAAGTCACATGTAGTTAATGGCTAGTGTTTAGAAAGTATGACGTTACATGTTTTTTACTTTATAAAAAAATTATCTGAGCTGAGACATAATCAATGCAGTTGACATTAGGTATGTACTAGATTTAAAACACTGCAACATGCTTTATATATAGTATTGCTAATTCTAAAAACTACCTCCACTTTCATGAGGCTCAAAGAGGGCAAATAACTTACCAGATATCATAAACTGATAAACAATTGAACTAACATTTAAGTCTATGGTTGACTCCAAGGCCCGTTTTTATCAAAATATCAATACAAAATTGATACTGCTGGGTAAATCAAAAATAGTCTCCTTCTATGTATAATAATAAATGATGATGTCACTTCCATGAGAAACACTTTATATCAAGGCATAAAATACAATTCAAGTGGTTAAAGTTGATCATGAATGAAAAGACAAATCTAAATCTAGCAAATTTAGATTTGCTTTAAGGAGGGACAGATTCACAATCAAAATTGTAAGAGACAAATCATCTAGTGTATTAATAATTAGTTGTTTCCAATGTCACTAATAGGTAGTTAAATTGTTACTCTTTTAGCATCACTTAAATAATAATTCTTTTCAAAGACTAATAAGCGCCCCCCCCCATTCAGTTTTTAAAATAAATTTAAAATGGTGTTAAAAAATACTATTATCTTCTCAAACAAGACTGAATAAAATGCAGCCATTTTAATCAAACATAATCTTCTATAAATATTCTGTAATAAGAACTTATAAAACTACCTGTCAAAACATTCTTTTAGTGGTTGCTGGTGAAAACCCTCCACAAAATAACTTAAAAGAAAAAAAAAAAAATCACTTTTCCTTTCGGGTCAAATTAAACCAAAAATTTATAAACTAGGGCCTCCCTGGTGGTGCAGCTGGTTGAGTGCAGCGCTGTGAAGCTGTCCGCAGCCTCTGCAGTGAGGGTTCAATTCCCGGCCAGCCAGGGAGATACCCACATGACGCCGCAGACCTCTCCTGTCTTGCCTGCTGCTCCCCTCAGCAGTGTATTTCAGTCGTCTTCCTGTTCTGCTCCCCACTCTGTCTCTGGTGAATCCTCTCACCCTCCCACGCCTCTGGCCTGTACCCCAGTTCTTGTATAAATAAAAATAAATCTTTAAAAAAAATTTATAAACTAACTGTGAAAAACATAAATAACAAAGTCTAATAAAATTTTTATTTCAGTGATGACCAGAATTTTTAACAGAAGTTATAGTTCATTTATTTATAATTTATTCTCCACAGAGAAGAGAAAGGCTGTTATTTAGATTTCAATGCTAAGATTTAATATCTGAAAATATTTTCTAGTTTCAATAATAAAATCTAAAGGGAGTAAAGCAGGTAATTAAAAAACAAAAAAACAAAATGGGCCTCCCCAGTGGCACAGGGGTTAAACTCTTAGTGCTATCAAGCTATTGCCAGCCACTGCAGCATGAGGTAGATCCCGGCCAGAGAGCTAACCCAAATGGCACACTGGGCCTCTCCTGTCTCACCTGCTGCTCCCCTCAACATTTCATTTCAGTGAATCTACCTGCTCTGCTCTCCATTCTGTCTCTGGTGGATCCTCTCGCCACCCCCCCCCCCCCCAGCCCTTGCACCTCTGGCCTACACTCCAGTTCTTATATGCATAAATAAAAACAAATAAAAGAAAAAAAAACAAACAATAAAACTACACACAACTTTTTTTGAAGACTTCTAGGTGGGTGGGGAATATAGGAGTTGAATAAATTCTGATTCTGTTTTCCTAGTTCAGTAATAAAAGACATACTCTCAAGACTGAATATAAAGACTCAATGCCTGACATCTCCCCCTTGCTGTCTTTAAAATTTACCCTTCATCTGAAAAATCAAGGCTGACTTCCAGTTTTCTGGCTTGGAGAAACTGGGTAGATAGTAACTTTTTACTAAAGACAGGGAATTCAATAGGAAAAGCAGACTTTGTAGGGACAGATGACAGCGAAGTGCTATCTTTTGATATGTTGTATTTAAAGTATTTGAGCAATACCCAATTGTTACATTAAGACTTATGAAATCAATTCTGTAAGCTCTAGGATAGACCTAGAAGTCATTAGAACCAAGGAATAATACCTCAAAGGAGAAGAGTAGGATGAGAAAAGAAATAATTCTGGAACATATAAACATTAAAGGAAAAGGTAAAGAAAAGGAGCATAAGGTGTAGCCAGGAGTAAAACTAAATCTGGATTTCATTTCAAGGCAAAGTAGTCAGAGTTGTTAGAAAGGCCAAGATTTGGGCTGAAAAGCAGCCCCTGGATTTAATAAAAGAAGTTGTCCCTCTCCAAGATCGGCAACAGTTCTGGTATTGTATTGACTGTGCAAGACCAATACTATAGAAATATGAAGAGTGAAGGAAAATTAAGCATATAGGTACTATGATGGGAAGCAGGCAACTATTTCAAGAAGTTGGCTCTAAGGGAGGTAGAGGGAAATGGTTTCTCAGAGAAACGAAGAGGCAAGATCTTGTTTTGATTTTAAAAGTTCACAGAGACGACCTTCCAATCAATGGTTATTTTTGAAGTTGAACTTTTTTCCTCTGTAAAACTTGCAAATGCTTTCCGTGCAGGTTTATAGGGGCCTGATGACCCCTGACCTGCTGATTAGAAAAAGTTAGACTATTTTCCATCATTTAGTTTCATAGGTTGGTATAGATTCTAAAGCACTCTGGAAAAATGTAGGTCACTTTTTCTCATTGATTTTGGTTTCTAAACAGGAAGGCAAGTTCTTAACCTACTGATACCTCCTGAACCATAAAAGCTACTATAAATACCTTTCAAAGTAAGTCTATACCAGCAATAAATTGAACCAAAAGATGATTTGGGTTCACCACTGCCTTAACTTTAACAATGACCTTAACTTCCCTAGAGGAGTTACAAAATTTGGAACTATATAGCTTTTATTCTATTATCTCCATCACTATTTGAATTTAAATGAAAAGACAAAAATTAAAGAAAATAAGAACAGCGTTAAAGAGTAAACGGAGTTAGAGGGATTTCTTTTCTTTTTTTTCAATTTTTTAAAACAGATTTATTTATTTTTTAAAATACTTTATTTTATATATATATATATTTTTTAAGATATATTTATTCATTTATACAAGCACTGGGATACAGTCAGAAGTGCGGGAGGGTGAGAGAATTCACCAGAGCCAGAGTGGAGAGCAGAACAGGCAGACTGATGAAGTGCACTGCTGAGGGGAGCAGTGGGCGGCAGGAGAGGTCTGCATGCCATGTGAGACCCTCACCCGGTGGCCGGGGATAGAACCGGCGCTGCAGAGGCTGTGGGCAGCTTTGCAACCCAGCGCTCAACCGCTGCGCCACCGGGGAGGCCCAAGATTTATTTATTTTTATACAAGAGCTGGGGTCTCTGTATTGTACCCCAATCTGTACTGGGGTACAGACCAGAGGCGTGGGAGGGTGAGAGGATTCACTAGAGACAGAGCTGGGAGCAGAACAGGCAGACGACTGAAATACACTGCTGAGGGGAGAAGCAGGCGTGACAGGAGAGGTCTGCCACGCCATGTGGAAATCTCCCTGGCTGGCCAGGAATTGAACCCACACTGCAGAGGCTGGGGACAGCTTCACAGTGCTGCGCTCAACCCGCTGCGCCACTGGGGAGGCCCCTAAAGAGGGATTTCTAATTATTTTATTTTCCAACATTTTAGGCACGCACCAAAATTATGTGTACCTGAAAAAATATCTTAAAGTACAGGTTAATAATGTGCATATACATATTTATATTTAATAGACATGGTTATCTAGAAGTTCCTCATTTTTCCAAAGCCTCATACTTACATACCTCTGTCTTTCCTATTCATTCTACTTTCATTAGTTCTTTGGTCTCTGGCAAAAAAAAAAAAATCAAACACCTATATTACAACTGCTCATATCTGGTTTACCTTCCTGGATTGTGAAAGATTTCACAATTTGCTTTTCTGTATATTAAAAACTAAAGCTCTATTATAAATTTGGAAAGTAGGGACATTTTTACTCAAACTACTCTTTTTTTTTAAAATTATCTTTTTTTTTTTTTTTTAATTTTAAAGATTTATTTATTTATTTATACAAGCACTGGGTACAGTCAGAAGTGCAGGAGGGTGAGAGAATTCACCAGAGCCAGAGTGGAGAGCAGAACAGGCAGAAGGACCGAAGTACACTGCTGAGCAGCGGGCGGCAGGAGAGGTCTGAGCTCCATGTGGGACCCTCGCCCGGCGGCCGGGGATCAAACTGGCACTGCCGAGGCTGCGGGCAGCTTCGCAGCCCAGCGCTCAACTGCTGTGCCACCGGGGAGGCCCTACTCAAACTACTCTTAAGATCAACAGAGAAGCGTGAATTTTTGAAAGATAAATTATGTACATGGGTAGGTATAATAACAAGACCCAAAACAGAAAGTGAATGTCTACTATTATAATCATTTTTAGTTTAGAGGGCATCTTCTATGAAAGAGGAGACCTTTTTGTTGAAAAAAGTATTTCAATGATCATAAAGGCAGAAAATAATTTGGGCCTGGTTAAAATAGTGATTATGTCCAGAAAAATTCACTAAGTGTTCTCTGGCACCCACAAACAATAGCAGTTACAAGTCTTTAAAAAATTTTGCCAGATAGGGCCTCCCCGGTGGCGCAGCGGTTGAGCGCTGGCTTGCGAAGCTGCCCGCAGCCTCTGTGGCGCCGGTTCGATCCCCGGCTGCTCCCCGGCCACCGGAGGAGGGTCCCACATGGCGCGCAGACCTCTCCTGCCGCCCGCTGCTCCCCTCAGCAGTGTACTTCGGTCCTTCTGCCTGCTCTGCTCCCCGCTCTGGCTCTGGTGAATTCTCTCACCCTCCCGCGCTTCTGACTGTACCCAGTGCATGTATAAACAAAAACAAACAAATAAAGAAAGAAAGAAAGAAAACATGCCTCTATAAAAAAAAAAAAAAAAAAAAAAAAAAAAAAAAAATTTTGCCAGATAAATAAAATGACTAATGAAAGCCAAACAAGATAGGAGACAATAGGTTTTCCAGCTTTAGGTTACCATATATCAAAATATATAAATTTCTCTTTTTCAACTTCTAACTTGTGAAAAAATGCTGAATCAGACATGAGTTGTCTTATAGCCGTATGAAAAATCTTTAAAAAGGAAAACATTTAAATAAAGTTCATGACTGAGTCTGTAAAATGTTAGCCTATATTTCAGATATATGAAGTTTTCCTCTTACCTACTACAAACATGATCTATAAGCAGAGACACAGAATCTAGATTATTATCAAGTTTGGTATTGTGATATAGGCACCGATCCCTTTGTAGTTCCACCGCCTGCCGCAGAAGGGTCTGTAAACGCCGTGGGGGAAGCATCACTGATGGTGGTAAATAGGCTTTAACAGAAGATATTTTAAAAAGAGAAATACAAGTGAGAATTAAAAAATTGAAACAATATAAACTTTTATTTAAGACTCTAGCTCATCTTATGCTGTATATGCCCCTACCCTTTAACATAGCAGTTAATGATGTGTCCCTTTAACAAGGCAGTTCTGGGTGATTTCACATCTGAGCTTTATGAATAGTTGTCAGCAGCTACAGCTATGCTGTCATTAGGATGGAGTAAAACTGGGTAGGAGGGCATAAATTTGTATGTGTCTTTTCTTAAAACACAAAAACAAAACTGAAAAACCACTACCAACAAAAAGTTAAAAAAGTGGTGATGATGGGACACTAACCATTACAGAGAATCTAAGAAAAATCTTCATTTAACAAGAGCAAGGCATAAACCTAGAAGTTCCAGGTCCTGCCAAATTGCTTCCAAAGCCAAGGATATCATAATAATTTTGGGAATAATTGCTATTTTGATACTGATACTGATCTGTTCCAATCCCTTAATACCCTGTACCTGACTGAACATGGATTGATGAGATCTTAGGATCTCCACTCTCACCCTAACATGAAGACAGGAAACATAATGATATGATTTAACTAGGGAGGGAAAGAAGGTCTTTATTATATAATATGGCAAAAATGAAACCTCTAGTCTAACTTGGAAGTCACACAAAGTATTTGGGGGGAGGGTAAAACAATTTATCCATGAGATATTTAAAAACTGATGTCTTAAAGCTGTGGTTTACATATTTTTTTTCTCTAACCACAATAATTCTCCCCAAACAAAAACTTAAGAGGCACATCACCACATAAACAAATGAAAAGGGAACTCTCTGTGACCAGCATCCTCTCTCTGGCTCCTGGGGCTAGCTTTTTAGACTCCAGGGCAGAGTTTGATAATCTGCTCAGTGTCTGTTAATGGATCCCTCCCTCCCCTTTATATCACCACTCAATAAGAGTATATCTAGACAGGAGTCTTCCTAAATGATTCATAACATCTAAAGAAAGCCAAAAACAACACAGAAACACCAAAAATTAAGACTTACTCTGAAGTTTGTCTAACAGTTTGGATCGGGAAGCTGTTCCTTTGCCTTCCCATTCTGCTTTTGCACGTAGGTCTTCTGCATGGCTACACATCAGATACCTAAAAATAAGACAGAGAAAGAATGAAACATCAAACCCTTTTCTTTGGCTTAAACATAATTAAAAAATACTGATTATCTACTTCTTACTAAGACGTATCTATCAAGAAGAAATTTCTACAGTGGATCCAAATTCATTAATACAAACTGACACTTGGATATAATTACTATAAAAACAATAGCTAAATATACATATTCTTATGTTGCTATTTACTAATAATATGTTCTTGTATTTACTGTTATAGGTAGCTCTTCTTCTGTGCCAGGCTGTTCTAATATTATTTAATGTTTGTAACAATTCTGTATGATGTGAACACTATTATGCTATATTTATTCATGAGAAAACCAAGGCATAGAATGCTTAAGTAATTGGCTTAGAGTAAAGCGGCAGACTAGGAATAGAAACCCAGGAATTCTAGTTGCAAACTTGCTCTTAACCACTAGGCTACCTTAACTGCTTCTTAATCATGAAATGAAACAAACACAGAAACAAAAATTTTCAAAGGTATCTATAATAAACTAATTAAACAAAAACAACAAGAACAAAAACCATCATGTGTTTACCATAAATCACTCAATGGCATTAACTGGATATTTGTTCTTGTCTCATCCTTTGAAAGGTACTGAAATCCCAAAGCAGAACATCTGGGAGGTTTTTTCATTTACTGTATGTGCTGAAGAAGCCATAAATGCTAATGTTCATGGATTCTGGAGAACACATCAGGGCCCCCTGCTGAAAATGTGACCTGACCTGGTTCTGGCTGTTCTTAAAAGGACAAACTTGAAAACTGGAACTCTGCCAGACAAATCTGTTCTTTCACTTGTCAAAAGGGTATTAAATAAGACAGTGAGAATTAAATAAGGTGGAATATTTGGCATGCAGGTAGAACCTGGTATGCAGGTAGAACTTAGTGAAAGATAATGTAAATATGAACAAAACTCTCAGTTACCGTATCATGTCCTCCTTTTCTTAATTGCATAAAGCATATTTCACTTAGCATCTTAAATAATTATTATTTAGCGAAATAATAATTAAATGAGAGTTTCTTACCTAACAGAACTACTTGCTTCCTTAGTAGTTAGTATATAATAGTGCCTGAGCTGACAGGAATTTTTTTCAATGGCATGAGTAATCAGATTGAAAACATCCTATAAGAAGCTGGATATTGTAAAAAGTGTTTCTAAAATAATTATTTGTGAGTCAAGTTTTAACTTTGTGGGGAAAAATCTCTCAAATTTTGCAAAAGCGATCTATGAATGCTAAAACTTCAGGGTTTCAAATGAACATTTGCTTATGGGAAGTCACAGAGTGTTACTGAAAGGATACTGCACTGAAAGAAAGAAACCCTGGGCTCCAATGCTAACTCCCTATCTTGTAATTTCTGGCCCATTTCCTTAAGTAAATAATTCAAGGTATAAACTTGACGAAGTTCCAGATGAAATTCTGGAGTAAGAACTATACAATTAAGTGATATGTTATTTAGCAGAACAAAGCACGTTTCTTCATGTGAATGGTAATGAAGAAATACAGAAAACAGAGACATCATGAAAGAGGTAATCCAAACAAAGTAAGTTGTGAGCTCAATATTAAAATATCCAGTAGAATTTACCATTTCAAGATACAGTGGTGGGTAAAGACCAATGACTTAGGAATCAAGTCAAATCAGGCTTTAAGAATCTTGGTTCTGACTTATTAGCTATATTTGGGTTTGGTACTTAACTTCTTTGAGGCTCAGTTCCCTTATATGCAAAAACCCTAAAATGAGTCTTATACCACTTTAGGCCCATCTTTTTATATCTGAAAACTCATTATGTGTCATATTGTTTGCTGGGGCCATATCATATAGTGGAAAATGCTATGAAGAGCAAAAACAAAACACAACATAGGGATATGGCAAAGAATGAATGCCTAGAAGATAGCCTCAGGAGAAGATATTTGGACTGGAACCTGAGCAGCAACTAGCCAGCTATGCAAAGCTTGGGGAAGAACATTTAAAACAAAGCAAACAGTAGTGCAAATACCTTAAGGTAAGGCAAGTTAAGGAACAGAAACAGTATTAGTATCACTAGAGAGAAATGAATAAGAGAAAAGATGCAGGAAAGGATGAAGGACCTTGTGGGCTTGTGCAGAGATGTTGGATTGAAAGTGTGTGTGTTTGAAGAAAGGGAGAGAAATGACTTAATGCATCTCATGCTTATTTATCTGGTTGCTGGGTTAAGGGAGCAAGGGTGAAGGTAATGTGACTCATTAAGAGACTACTGTAACATTCTGGGAGAGATGATTACGATTTACGGAGGAGAGAAACAAACAATTTTAGGACGTTTTGGAGTTAGGCCAATACATGCCAAAGCTAAAGCTAGAAAAAAAATACGGAAGAATGAGGTCTAAGTTTTTTGTTGAGATGAGGAAAGTAATTGGAGGAACATGTCTCCAGGGGTGGAATGGGAGCAGAGACAACTGGAATCAAGAACTTTGTTTTGAACACGAAACTCTTGGGACATCTATTAGATATCCAATGGAGACAGAGAAGTAGGCTATAAGATATATACAGCAGAAGTTCAGATAACATGGGAAATTTAAGACCCACTGGCATGTAGACAGTACTGGAGAGTATACTACAAAAGAATGAGATTACCTGTGAAGAGTGTAGGCAAAGAATAGAAGGAAATCTAGAATCAAGGCTTTGGGTCCTTTAACATTTAAAGGATTGACACAAAGATAAAATGAGATTACACATATGAAGTACTTACCAAGGACCTAGTACATAATAAGGATTCATTAAAAAAGAATGTTTGGGGCCTCCCTGGTGGTGCAAGGGATTACGTCTCCACTATGAAGCATGAGTTGCAGCATGAGTTCGATACCCGACCAGGGAGCGAACCCACATGGTGCAGCAGACCTCTCCTGTCTCACCCGCTGCTCCCCTCAGCAGTGTATTTGAGTCAGTCCACCTGTTATGCTCCCCATTCTGTCTCTGGTGAATCCTCTCATGCCCCACACCTGTGGCCTACACCCCAGCTCTTGTCTGCATAAATAAAGCTTTAAAAAAAATAAAAAAGAATGTTTGTGTGCACCTATACTGGAAACTACATTGCTTACAGTTTTTATAGGAGATTATGAAATGACAGTTCAATAACAAAACATAGTTCTCCCTTTCACTCAAATATCTTTCTATTTTAATATGGAAAGCTTGACAAAAATAGTTGTATACATACAAGTGAACTTATCCAGAAAAATGTTATATAAAAATTTAGCAATAATCAGATGTTGAAAAAATGTTAAAGAAATGTAATTTTGGAATGGAAACCTTGATAAAATTAACAACCCCTTCATCAACTTGGAGTCTAAGAAACTAAGTTTACTTACCCACTGAGAACATGAATGCGTTCTGTATTGTATTTCAGTGGGGTCAATTCACAGCGTAGAACTTGAAGTGCCTCCAGGACCTTGCCATCCTCCAGGTATTCCAGGTACTTCTGCTGTAGCAGCAAAAACTTCATCCTCTGACATGACAGAAAGCAGCAGTCAGAGGAAAAAGTTGATGGAAGTTTCAGAAAATGTTTGTGCCTAAACAGAACAGTAGAAACCATTCTACTATGCCCTTTGATATAACTTTTGTAAAGCTTTTAAGATGACTCAAAATATTTTGGCTTAATAGAGTTATAGATTAAATGTGACTTGTTCAATTCTACATTTTAATAAAACTGCTATGAGCAAATAATCTCAAATTAGGTATGATTATTAGTGACCAAGGCATCAACATAGGGGAGGAAAAAAAATGAATTCTGCCCTAAAACACTAACCTAGAACTTAGTTCTTGTATGAAAATTTAAATCTATTCCACAAATATTCTTACATTTGCTTTTTAAAAAGCCTGACTTTGATAACAGAGCATTTAGAGTTTTATGTAACAATATTTGAAGAATAGAGAAAAACCAGTTAATAGAAGGATTATTTAAAAGTCACACTGTGAAAGGAGGACTAAGTAGACCAGAAAACAGAACTAAAGCCACAGGGTAGAAGTAGCAAAGTGTAAGATTTTGGCTTATCAAGAGTAAGAGCTGCCCAACAAATGGTGCGCAAAATACTGAGTTTCCCATGGCTAAAGAGGACAAGCATGTTTGATGGACTCACTCTCTTGAGGAGGCAATGGAGATGTCTCTAATTGAAGACTGAATGTAAACAACTTTAAGAAAGTTTCAATATTTGTATACTGGTGGCAATCTGAGCCCTGATACATTTACTACGAAGCAGACAATTATCAACACCCTCCCCCCCCCCAAAAAAAACTATTTCCAGCTTATTGTGAAGCACTTCCACATTTAGTTTTTTCTTATACGTGTTTGGCTTCAGTACTATTAAATGTTTCTTTATTTTACTTTTAACTGGAAAGTGAACATCACAACCTTAGCAGCATTTTTCTAGAGAAAAGAGATGTTGTGAATATCAAATTTGGAAATTTCTTTTAAACCTGAGACCTAATAAAGACTCGCTGCTTACATGAACTCTTCTATCTCATCTACTTTTGATGCTTGAGCAAGTCAACTGATGTCAGTAGAAAACTTAGTAGATAGGAAATGTTTGCCACCATATTCCTAAGAAGTCTTCAAAAACGACTAAGAACTCAAATCTACTTTAAAAAAAAAAAAAATCCAAATGACAGTCTTTGTTTCTTCAATAACATGCTTAGCTTGAAAATACTAAAAAATACTATAAAAAAACAATGTGGAGAAATTACCATGTCTCTATAGACTTAAGAGTATAATGACCTGCCCTAAAGACTTTCTATTAGGGAGTATTTAAAAGAAAAGCATAATCTATAAGCTTATTAAGATGGTTTCTAGAAAAAGTAAATAAAAATAAAGCCTCTCACATAAATTAGGCATACATTTAAATACATCTTTTATAAAATACATGTGTTTGATAACAATCTAATTTTAAATCTGTAGCTAAAAGACAATAAAAATTCAAATTATGAGATAAACTTTAACTCTAGAAATATTACACATAACAAATTTTTACAACACACACACACACACACACAGACACGGCTAAGCAAAATAAAAACAATTCAAAAATCAAAGGATTTTATATTTGAGGTTATTTTGGACACTCTCATCACTTTATCTTCTGGAAAAAACAAAAACACTTCAACTCTTTAATAAAGAGTGTATGTATTTCCATTTATCAATATACTGTTAAAAGTTTTTTACATAGTGTTTTTAAGTGTAAACTTGAGAATCAGAATTTTTTCATTTAAATGCCAGATGAAACTGACCACTATATGTATATTATTTATTCAATTAATTTCTTAGCAACTGAGAACTTGAGGGAAACTGTATTTTAAGATTCAGAGCAAATCTTATTTTTTGGGGGCAGTATCAATCGTCTGGACAGATGTACAATCCTAACCATCCATTCCAATTTGTGTAGGGACAGTGGTCCATGCTATTTCCCCCTTATTTTCCCACCAAGATACTGCTAGAACATGTTATTCACTTTAAATGGGGGTAGAGCAGGAGGAAAAAAGCAAAGTAAAACTTTGAAAAGCCAATATAAACACATATTTTTATATATATAGGAAATGCTGTAAAAGCAGAGCAAGAACATTTCTCTCTGAGTCATTTTGTCTAGATTAAGACAAAGAATACCCTTAAACGGATATCAATCCTGGACATATGAATGGTAACATGCTGCTGGCATGCATAACTAGAAATGTGATTGAGAAAATATTTATTTGACACATATAGAATGGAAAGCACTCCATTTGTGATACAAAAGTGTATCTTCTCCAAATTTAAAGCACAAAAATGTAAATTTCAAGAAAATAAACATCTTCAGCAATTGTTATTTACTGAAAAAGTTTTTAAAAATCAGGTAAAACTGAAGTTTGCTGAGGTGGGGACAGGGCTTTCTGATTTTCTTTTTTTTTTAAAAAAGATCATGAGCACCTTAAATGAAGATGAAAACAAGAATCAGGTGAAGAAAATAAAATCTGTAAAGTATTATTTCTGGTCTCTATATTTCATCTTTGGGCCCATTAACATTTTTACATTTTTTTCTCTTTTTTACTGTCTAATAAAAACTTCAAACTCCTGGTTAGGACAGCTTAGAGAGTTTCACATGGTAATTCCTGCTGCTTGCCCCCCACCCCCCTTTGGAATGTTTTATTCCTTTCCCATTTAATTAGATTAAAATGAATATAAAAGAAAAACCCAAAGTTATGATATACAGGAAGTCTGGTTATCAAGGGCAGCCTTCTGATTAACTGCGGAATAGGGTTATGACCAAGTTATATCAATTAAATCATGACTCAGAGAAAGGAGAAATGACCTGTATTTAAACCAAGCTCCTTAAAAATACTAATTTTGGTACATACATATCTGGACACTTTTGTTAAGTTGATCTCTATTATACTAAAAGTAATCAGCTACCTTTAGACATATAAAAGTTTTGCTATTCATCCAGACAAGTTCTCCCAGACATGGCTAAGCATATCTGAACACAAATGAAAAAAAAAAAAAGTTCAGCTTCCAGAAAAATTCAGAGAAAACTCTAGTATTTGTAATATCATTTGAGTGGAAACTATTTTAAATATGGGGAGGCAGGGAAGAATGGTCTGGACCAATAAAAACATCCAGGTTTAAAAAGTAAAACATAGGGGCCTCCCCTGGTGGCGCAGCAGTTAAGCGCTGGGCTGCGAAGCTGCCTGCAGCCTCCGTAGCGCCCGTTCGATCCCCGGCCACTGGCCAGGGTCCCACATGGTGCGACAGACCTCTCCTGCTGTGCCCGCTGCTCCCCTCAGCAGTGTATTTTGTCAGTCTGCCTGTTCTGTTCCCCACTCTTTCTCTGGTGAATTCTCTCATCCTCCTGCCCTTCTGACTATACCCAGTGCTTGTATAAATAAATAAATATTTAAAAAAAAAAAAAAAAAAAAAGACAAAACATAATCTAAGCCTACCAGAGTAAATTATCAAATGTGTCTGTATAAACAGTTAAAATAATTGTGTTTTAAAAAAATAAGAACCCTAATAGTTATTGTCTAAGGTATTAAAAAGGAACTTATGCTTACATTAGATTATCTTCTGGAGATGGAGGGGGGGGAGAGGAGTAAATCTAAACACAATTAGAATGGAGAAGAACACTTTAAAAAATGCTGAACTTAATTTTTAAAAGCAATTGATTCATCAATGCTTAAAGTGAGATAAAACTGGAACCTCTTTCTTTATATAAATACCTAAATAGTCTGATGGAATGAGGCTCAGCCAGAGATTTAATCTTCATCTTTTATTAGATCCTAGAGTGCTCTACAGACTGAACAGGCTGTAAAAAGAAAGGATTCTGCCTTATTATCTACAGTTACCTTTCTTCAGTTTACATGTTGCTTCTAATGAAAGTTTCTAACAATAATCATAATCTAAATTAATACAGAAATCTCCAATTACTATAAACAAAAAAAAGGGGAAGTGAGCCTATTAAAGAAGCTCTTACTGCTAAACTATAGATAAAATTTGGCTAAAGTTTAAAAAAGAAAAAAGTCCTTCAAGAATGCACACTTATTTTAAAACAGCCTCTGGGTAGGTTTTTTACTGTCATCACACAAATAGTGTTATCTTATAATAGGAAAAGAACCTCAATCCTTTTTTGGGCCATTTAATTGTCTTTATTTTAGGGTCAATTTCCATTCTGTCAGAGCTAACAGTTTATGTTAAACTGTCCAATAAAAATATAGTTAGGTGTTTTTCTAAATCCCAAATATTACCAGAAATTTGCAATATTTTAAAATATAGATGTTTAGCTATTTTAATTTTAAAAATTTACCATGGAATTGACTATTCCCTGAGTTAACTTATTATCAATTATCTGATTCAATAGTAAGTTAAAAATTTTTAATATTTTAAGTATTTACTGAAAGAAAAAAAATACTAGATCATCAATTTAAATGAACCCTTATTTGTTGACCCTTGTTTGTACCATTAATTCATCTCAAGTCTATTCTCTAGGCTATTATACAAAATCATTAAAAATTTGAAAACTTTGGTAACAAAGATTCCAAACTTCCTTCCCAAAACAAAAATAGGAGGCTCTAGAAGGTTTACAAACAATGGCAGAAAGACTGTTTGACCCAATTTAAAATAAATCAAAATGTAACACTCACTTACTCATATTTAGTGAACAGCTGGTTTCTCTACTTCACTTCCTATGCTCCTTCTTTCCCTCCCCCACCAGACAGGAAGTTGCTTTTGACAACAAATGAATCAGCTAGAAGTTTAAAAAGTCAGCAGCCAGGCGCTGATTCTTCATGGTTTCCAATCACAAGCACTCAGAAAAAAACTTATCCTCGCCTCTCTCTCAGCAACATCTACTACTAAAGAATTAAAGCCTACCACTATAAAGAATTCATTAAGATTTATGAAAGAAGCTGACATTTAAACAACTAAATTGATCTTGTGGGGGAAATAAGGTCAGTAAGCAGAGCCCAGTGGTCAAATTTGCATTAAAAACCCTACCAAAATGATACAGAGAAAACCGACACTGTCAATTCACACAACTGGAATGGAAATGGTGAGCACACCAACAGAGTTGGTTAGAATTAACTACAATTCCAAAAGATTAAAAAGAGGGTAATTGCTGCATCATCAACTCAAGGTTTTATGGATATACATACATTTTGTTTACTAACACTCAGTATTTTATATGAAAGTATAATCTATCTTCAATTCTATAAACATAAAACTTATTAATAGAACTAAAAGTATGAAGATCATTTAATTTGTAAAAGCTTAATTTATAAACTAGTTTCAAAGCACACATTTGTTAAGTATGATTTTAAAATAAAAACCTCAAACTTTAAAACATCATAAACTCACTCTAGTTTACAAAATTAAATATATGAACCCTGTTTTTCAGTCTTATCCTTTAAAAGAGCCGGAGCCCAGAGTTATCAATAACCTACTAAAATAAGCATAAATGTGAAACTAAGAACAAAAGTGTATTTACCACAATTATTCCCAACAACGTTTGAGAGATTTCAAGTGCGCCTCTTACCACAATAGCATGAGGAGAATGCACTAAAGGCTTTAGTTCATTCAGGTCATTTTCTGCCTGCAAAAATTGGTATAAAAAAAAAAAAAAAAAGAAATGTCACAAAATGCACATCAAATATATAATTTTAGCAGCAGTCACACAGCTCTATATGCCCTACTTTACCTTATCCCAGTCTCCTTCCATGACATGATTTCGGAATTTGGTAGCAGAAGGATGTTCTAAACGACATCCTGACTCTTGCATGAGGAGATCAACAGTCTGGCTGCAGGAGAGATACAGTGTAAAAAAGACCTGACCAACTTTAGGGTTTTACTCTTCCAAATAAATTAATGTCTATGAAAACAGTTGCAAAAGTTTTTAAGAAACCTCATGAAGAAAAAAATAGCTTTAATGTGCTTGGCTCAACTAACAGATTTTAATGCTGCCATCACCTACACTTATGTCTAGTCAAATTCTTGAAACTGAATCAAAATTAAGTTCTTCATACTTGTGCTATTTAATGCCTCAGAAGTTAAATGAAATATAAGGTGTGTTGTAAATAATCGAAAAGCCAGGATCTACACGGTAACTCCATTACTACATTTTGAAGGATAAAAACAACTAGAGCTCCATAAGGTAAATAAACGACCTGTGTTAGATGAGTTTCACATCCAGGTATTATTTTTGCACAGAAATTCTACTTGGTCAATCTTTCAAATAAAATAAATCCAGCATCAAAAATCATTCCCTTTCTCTCTATACTAAAAATAGCAAATTTACTATGGTGTAGGTTCCAAACAGTCACGAGTTATTTCCTCCTGCTGCTGTCAGCTTGCTTCTTGTCTCAGTAATATGTTCTGTTAGCATTTACAAAATCTGTTTCCATACTAATCCTATTCCTTAGGTAACCAAGTAAAAATCTTCTTACAATATATTTTTCTTTGAGAGTTTAAAAGATTGATCAAATGTGGCTTCTTCCAGCAAATATTATGATACCTAAGAAACTTCCTTTATAGGCCTTACATAATTTTTAAATTTCAATGCTTTCTAATTCAGTTCCATTTATTTTTAAACAGTACAATAATAATCTGAGACCCCAAACACTTATGTCATTTAAAAAGTGCTCCATTTCTCCCAGAACAAATCTATCACCCCCAAAGTACACACTGGCTAAAGAGCTGAATCTACCCTTTGAAGCTAGGAAACTGTTGCATGTTTCCCCCCTTCCTCTTATTCTGGTCGTGCTCAGCCCACCTCCTCCAGGTGGTCCAGGGGACTCCCGCCCATCCTACCTTCTACCCCTTAGCTTTTCTTTGTGTGTACCAAACGGTGATTTTCGCCCAAGGTCGCTGTCTACCTTCACCCTATTTTAGGTGTACAAGGCCACCTAAATTGTATTCGAAAATAAATGATTCACCAGATCAGATGACCCTTTTCAGAGGCAATCATCTCCTGGGTATTAAATTAGGTTTGCACACCAGTTACGAGGCCCCTTGCACGCACATAAGGGCCTTTAAATGGCACCGACCAGGCGGCTTCCTTCACTACTCCCGTCAGACTTCTTCAGCGACCTCCTCCCGAGTCACCCGGCCCCGCGGTTCCCCAGGCACGGGTGGACGACCGTCGCGACTGACCCGGCGGTCTGCCCGGGCGTCTATCACGGCTGGGGGCGGGGGTGTCCCACAAAGATGCCTCTGGGAGGCACTTGAAAAGCGGATCCCGCAGGCTCATCATCCCCGGCTCCATCCGCCCCCCGCGTCTGTGCTGACAGACAATCGGGCTCTGGAGGCGCGTGGGGAGGGCCCGTCTCTGGGCTTCAACGGTCCCTTCCGGCTGCCCGTCTCGCCTCACAACCGGCCGGGCTGACGGGCCTTCCCGTCCCTGCAGGCCGGCGCCTGCCCCGGGAGGCCGAGCGGCCCGCCGGTCCCGGCCGCGGGAACTCTCCGCAGCCCCCGCCCGTACCCCGGCCCGGCCGTCCCCGCCGGCTGCCTGCGGGGGACTTACTTGAGCCCTAGGCCGTTCAAGTGCTGTCCTATCAGCCTGATGACATCCTCATCCGACTGGGAGAGCCGCTTCTTCTTCTTGAGGCTGCTGCCCAGGTCCGAGGCGGCCAAGGAAGCGGCGGCGGTGGCGGCGGCGGCGGCCCCGCCGGGGACCCCGTTATTGACACTCAGGCTGTTGCTATTGTTGCTGGCGGCGGAGGGGGCGGCGGGCAGCAGCCCGTTGGCGTGGGCCAGGTCCCCCGCGGACGACGACGGCGACGATTCCCCGTTCTGGGCCGCCAGGCACGCGAGCTCCTGGGTCTGTCCCTGGCCCCCGCCGCCCCCGCCGCCGCCGCCGCCTCCTCCTCCTCCTCCGGACCCGTTGGCCTGCATGATGCTGCCGCCGACCGGGCTGTGGCCGCTGCTCCGGTGGGGGACGGCCGCGGCGGCCGGAGGGGCGGCGGCCGGGGAGAGTCCCACCACCACCACCACGGAGGAGGAGGAGGAGGAGGGCGAGGACGACGAGGTCGGAGGGGAGAGGCCTGCTCTGCCTGCCGAAGCCCCGGGCTCTCCTGCTCCCTCCGCCGCCGAGGCTCGGGGTTTCTTCCGCGGGGGCGGGGAGGCTCCGCCGGTGTCCGAGTCGGAGGAGGAGGAAGCGGAGGCCAGAGTTTCCTCGCCGAGAGAGGCCGTGGTGGGAAGCCGGCGGGGCGCGGCGGGGGAGGGAGGCGGGGGCCGGGGAGGGTCGGGCGAGGGGCCGGGGAGGTGGGGGGTCAGGGCCGGGGTACGAGGAGGGAGGAGGGCGAGGAGGAGGGGGAGAAGGAGGATCCGGGCCCTTTCCCCCCCCCCTCCCGGAGGCAGCTCGGGGTGCGCGGCCCGGGGGTCGCGCCGGGGGCGCCGCGGGGCGGCTGCGGGGCGCGGGGCCCGCCGCTGGGCTGAGCCCCGGCGGCGGCGGCGGCGGCGGGTGGCGGCGGAGGCAGCTGCCGCCTCTGTCCTCGGGTCCGCTCCGCTCCGCTCCCTGGTGTGTTGATTCTTCCCCCAGCTGCTGCCTAATGGAGGCCAGGCGCCCGCGTCACAGGAAATGCCTATACTGCCCTCCTCACTCACTTCCGGCGGCAGGTATGGAGCCTATAGGGGGGCCTGTCACCCGGCACGTGCGCGGGGGGCAGGCCCGGGCGTTCGGGGAGCAGCTCCGGGGCTGCAGGGCCGAGCCGACCCGCGCCTGAGCGCCGCGGCCCGCCCGGACGTCCCCCGGCGCCGCGGCGGGCCCGGGCCGCGAGGACGGAGCTTGTCACCGCCCCCGAGGCCGGCGCGCCCGGGACGGCCGCGGGCGCGGGCGTGAGGGCCCCGGCGCGACCTGGGCGCTGGAGGCGCGCGGGGCCGCGGGCCGCCCTCCCCGGCCGACGGCCCGGGTCGAGCAGGGGGCCGGGCTTCGTGAGGAGAACTTCGAGGCGCAGGGCGGCGGCGGGCCCCGGCCGCTCGCAGTGGGAACCAGGACGAGAACCGGAACGAACGGCCGCCGGCTCGAGTATGGAAAAGCGTGACTTTCCCGGCCGGCGCCTCGCGCAGTCGCCGTGGCCGGCCCGTCCCCGGGGGGCTGAGAGGACGCGCCGGGGAGAGCCCGTGCGCCACCCCGGGAGGTGGAAGCGTCTGTGAAAGCGGAATCTGACCGGGAGTACCAAAAAGGCTGCGGGAGAGGAGAGGAGGGGAGGGACTTGACTGGGGGTTTCTCTCATTTTTAGCTCTCGCTCAGCACCTCCTCCCCTCCAGCTGCTTCTGGAGTCTCTGTCCGGTTTAGGCGACAGTAATACTGACCCAGCTATTGCTTCAAAGCCTGCATTTTGGGGGAAGCAGGATTCGAATCTTTTGTAAGGAGAATTCTAACTCAACCTGAGCTCCAGGCTTGAAATTTTTAGGTGGAATGTGAGGCTTCTGTGTCACCGTGACTCCCATTTTTGTGGCTATAGAAATGCAGCAATAATCGTAGTCACCACAGATGATTATTACACGTCTGTGTTCATAGCACGTTCACCTGAGATGTACAAACATCTCAGAAACGTAAACATTTTTTTCTCTAAAGTTCCCCTGTGGAAAAAACGTTTACTCAACTAAGGCATCTTATCGCTGAAACTTAAAATATTAATGACTCAAAGTAACTATGAGGCCTTTGGAGACCGCCCTTTTTGACTTTAGAATATAAAAGATGATGCTTATGAGAAATTAGTAAAGAATTCTGAGCTCTGTGGCTCCTCAGACAGGAAGGAGAACAAGGAAGACCAATGTAGGCCCTTACAGAGATTTGTAATTCTCACCTCTTAAATATACTTCCAGTTGGTGTCATTGTGAGGTGACTCATAATCACTGTTTTTATTCACCTAGACAGACCAGAGTTCTAGCTAAGTTCATAGGGCATTGTCACTGTATCCAACAGAGCCTGAATTACTAGATAGTTAACACCTTCAGAGAACCCTGTTGGCATATTAACTTTGAACAACCATACTGTTAAGGAGTCCAAACTTTAATTTTCCCAGAATCGTTTACAATGATTTATTGGAACCATAGCACTAGCTTCTGAATAGTCTATAGTTCTTATAAAGAAAGCAATCACTTAGTGGTGGACAAGATAAGGCTCACACTTCATTGGCAAAAGTGAAAGGATGAAAGGAAAAAGAAACTGGAATCAACTGCTGTCTGTACTCAATAGGATATCCCAGCTTTTCTATTTAACGTGACCAAGACTGCTCTTATTAGAGTTCTGAATTTATGAGGTCCATATGCACGCACATTTTTTCTTCCTTTCAACAACGAGGGTGTAAGTTCTTTGAGGCAGGATCTTTGTATTGTTCATCTAAGCCAGTGTTTTTCAGATTGTGGGGCATGACCATTTGTGAGTCATGAAATCGGTGAATTAGTCTATAATTATGATTTTAAAAAATGAATGGAAAATTAAAAAATCATAGAAAATATCTAAGTAAATCATACGAAGGTGATTGTAAAATTTTTTGTTTCAATGACAGTACCTTATCTGTGCTTTAGAAGTAAAATACACTTTTTCGATAGGCCTTCCTGAAAAATGTTTGAAAAGCACTCATCTAAGCCAGTCCTGACTGACAAAAAAACAACTCAAGAAATGTGTTAGGTTTCTAAATGGCAAACCACTCCTTAAAACAATGTCTTAACTGTAAAAATGAGGAGCTACACCAGATTTTAAAAAGCCAAGATAGCATGGGAGTTTGTAATGAAATATAAAACCAAATTTTCATAAAAATCTTTGTAAAACAAATATAGATTGTTACTCTTCTATCAAGATTTAAGTTTGGTATTTCAACCTGGTACATATCAGTACCAATATTACTCAGTTTATTAATTTCTTTCAGGAAAAGGTAGTTTTCAGGACCCGAGATAACCCTGAGAAGATTACATTTATATTTAAATATCTCTAGCTTGATTATCCTAGCTTTTCTTTGTTGAGATTTCTAAAGTTGACAAACTGAACTTGTTAGGCTTGGGTCAACTGGGTGAATTCAGGAAAGAACATGATTCTTGGAGTCAGAACACTTAAATGTTTGACCTTGAACCAGTCATTTAACTGCTGCCCTTCATTGATTTCATGTTTTTGGAGTGGGTGTTATGACACTGGCTTACCTGCCCCAGAGTTGATGTGTGAGTTAAGTGAGAAAACAAATATAACAAAAATACTATGTTGAGAGGTTTCAAAATATAATTGAAATCCTGCCATCATTTCAAAAAAGATTTGAAGCAACTAAATGTGAAGATATAATCATATTATTGTTGCTATTTCTGAGTTGTGGACTCTAGTCACTTTTTTATTCCAACTCTGCCATTTAGCTGTGTTCCTGTGCATCTTTACGCAGACACCTCTGAATATTGTGCTTCATATTAGTCTTCCTCTGGTGGGGTGTTTCTAATAACTGTGTAAGAGAGTGAAAGATACATAATCTGGGAGTTTTGCCTGCTGTTCCATGTATGTCTCTCCGTGCAAGTGCTTGCTTATTTTTCCCATTCTATCAACATTCCACTCATGCCGTGAGCATTCAGTACACTCCTGTAAAGTGGGTAGGAGTGGCACATCAGGTGAATCAGTGCAAAGACAGGACTCCTGCCTTGCCACTGAGCATTTATATTCAGAAGTGAACAAGTGGAAGTGTTCGCCTTCCTCTCAATGAAAACTGCTTTTCTCAGCAGCCATCTCAAACTGTTCCTGAGAGCATTTGGTACGCATAAACAGTCTAAGGAAAAGTTCTGAAGAAGGAACAGAAATATACCAAAGCACTAGATTGTTCTCTCCCCCCCCCCCCCCCACAACTGGTAATAGACTGCTTGGAGTCGACTATTTGCTGCACTGACTTTGGTAGGTCACATTAAAAAATGCACATAACATTGAGCTGCTATGTGTGCAAAGATAGTCACTGAAGCATTCCATTAAAAAAGAATGGAAATAGTATCACAACATTATTTGTAGAGCTTTGAACCTATAGCCTCCCATCCCCTGAGCGGATAGAAAGAAACCTACTTTACCTCAGTAAACATAATTTGGGGGGAAAAAAGATATGTTATTAAGTTAAAAATGTGCATAATAAAAGTATGCAAAATATGATTCATTTTGCTAAGTAAATGAATACATATATGCAGGCATTATTTTTACGGGTAGTATAGAAAAGCATAAATAGTAGATTACCTTTAGGTGGGAGGACTGGGGTGGTGAGGAGCAAGTTCTTATTTTTTTCATTTTATACTTTTTTCCAGTGTTTGCATTTTCTAAGTATAGGTTTTTAAGTGTCAACAGAAATTATTTGAATTTTACTTTATTTTTTGTGTTAATAAATATTTATGGCTTTAATGCACTCATTTTTTTTAAAATAAATTTTATTTTTATATTCCCCATACAATTGCAACCTCCTTATTTTGACCCCAATCCCTCCCCTCCCCGCCCCCCACCCTCCATAGAGTGTCTCTGGTTCATAGTTTTTTGTTGATTTTGATTTTTACTTTCTTACAGTTATTCATTTTCCTTGTCCCTTATTTAAGTTTTCTAGATTCCTGCTATGAGTGAGACCATCCGGTATTTTTCTTTTCCTTTCTGGCTTATTTCGCTGAGCATGATCCCTTCCAGCACCATCCATGTTGCTGCAAATTGCATGTGTTTATCTTTTTTGAATGCTGAGTAATATCACTCATGTTTTTTTAAAGTTCACTCAGAAGCCATCAAAGTTCTCATGAGGATTTAATCATAAATAAAAACATGCCAGAGAAAGCAGTATTATGCATATTTAATTAACATTAAATATACTTTTTTTTTTTTTTTAGAACCACCTCCTTTCCATCACCTGCATCTTCTCTGCTAACTCTGTAGTACATACATAACCATTTTCTCACTTGGTTAGAGTCATCTAGGGAATAAAGGGCAAAAAGACATTCCTATTTATTAACTTTGAAAAGTAGATAAATAATTAATAGCCCCTGGAGTCCCAGCATATTAGACAACAGGCCCTTTGGGCAGTTTTTCTTATTCTTGGCTTCATATATGCTGTTCATCCTCTGTCATTATAATAATCATAAATAATAATCAATGGTAAAACATGATCATGATTGTTAACAACATAGGAGAAAATATGTTTTCTGAATATGTTTACATAGCCCATATAGAAGTAATGATCTAACGGCTAGACTTTTAAGACTTAAAAATTTAAGACTCCTAGCTAATTTTAACAAAGTTTAAAAAAATGTTAAAATCATCCCTGGACTTCTTTAGTTAATTATTATTATTTAAAAATTGTGACCTTTGCTAAATAATATTGAATGTATGGGCCAATGCCAAGCACTATAATAGCCTAAATTTAAAAAAAAGTTGGTTGAAGGAGCTGGTGAATGCCAGTCATTAACAACAAAAGAGTTAAAGAGTGGCTCTTAGCTGCGTTTTTGTGGCTTGTGAAAGGGTGCTTGGCTCAGTCAGGACTGACAGAGTGTTACAGATTTGCTGGTTCCTTTAATACCTCATTTAATGGAGTTTGGATCTTCACATTTCTACATATATTTCTGCATACAGCCTTTCTCTATACATTTCTGAAAAATAAGGATGTTTAACTTCCCTGCTATAC